TACAAACATTCAGCACACTTATTTCGACATAACACACCCTTATCAATCGTAAAATATGGTGATGTTGCATTGAACATAACTTTGAACTCTTTCAGTGACGGATATTTTTCACATGTCCAACACAATTGTTGGTCCCATGCAGAAAAACTGTACCATGTTTTACGAAATTTACTTATTTATTGAAGACACACTGATCTATCGGCTCAAAGTTAATGATGTCCGCATGCCTCCAACCTTGGATATATGTCTCGAATTTTACATTTCGTGACACGGAACTATGCAAAAGCGGCACTCCGGCTTTGCACCCTTTTTTTTAATGCGAAGGCAACAACTGGTCCCATGGAGCGAGCTGACGTCATCAGTTTGAAGCGCGAAGACGGCACCTAGTTTCCCCGATCCCAAAGGTTCCATTGGCTGGCGCGCGTCGACGGGGCTTCCATTGGCCGCTGCGCTCGTCAGTTTCCACGACCGCTCACCCCATGGCGCTGCGTGTCCATCACCAAGGATTTTGCCAAAGAAAGCATTTATGACAATTCTAGGGGAAGCTCATTGCTGTTTGAGGCAAGAACGGGTGTTCTGCGAACCAGAACATACAGAGTGAAGTACCAGGAAATTGATACAGTGTGCACTGCTTGTGGAGAGGAGGACGAGACGGCTGAGCACTTGATACTCTACTGTAAAGGGCTTCACCCTATGCCTATCGAAGACAACATAGATTTAATAAAGTCATTGGGTTTTAGAGACAGCGAAGGGAGAGTGGATTTCAAGACTGTAGAGATTACCAAGCAAAGATTAAGTGAATGGTGGCAGAAATCGAGAGAAAACTAGGTATTTTCTTAATCACTGATGGCAAGGGGGTTTCATAGCCTCACTTTCTTTGCACTGCGGAGTGAATATAGATTTCACATTTAAATATTCTAAGCTTAAATGATAAAACAAAATGGCTAGGTGGCGTAAGCTACCGCCCGATCCAAAGGGCTCAGCCGTATTCATTCATCATCATTCATCTTCAAGGTAAGCGCCGAAAAGTACGGAGCAGACGACAACGGGAGCGGACGAGCGGCTCGCATGCTTCCGCATTCACAACTCATAAGAAGTGCTTGGGTGTACCTCGAGCTTTTTTAAAGCACGAACTGCTTTTTAACGCTACCCCCCCCTCCCTCCCCCAAATTTTGTCCGTCCGTCCGTGCATTTTCCGCCAAATTTATCGGGCGAATTGATTTCGCGTGATCTTTACACGAATTCAGTTTCCCCGCTAAATTTGGCAGGAAAATTGATGTCACGTGACCCATAGGGAGAATTGACCTGTGGCTTATGTGCGGGTTGCGCGCGGTGCATTCTGGGTACATCGCCATCTCGGGGTCCTCGACAGCAGACAGCCGCTCCCACGCAACCGCACCAGGACCAGCCGCACTACGCCGGGAATCTTTCTCTGCTTTCAGTGACCGTGACACCGGAATGTGCAACGCTAGTATCGTGTCGTTACATGGTTACAGTGCGTGATGCTCGGCTGCCGCGCCAAGCCGCAGTCGAAGAAAAAAGAAAAGAGGAGAGCAAGCTTGCGGACTCCCGTTTCTTCAACATCCCGAGAGTCCGAACACACGAGTGCGAGAAAGCACGGTCGCTCTCCGTGGGAAGGCAATGCGAATGGCTCGTAGCTTAATCAATCGTGCATATTCAACACAGCTGAGCTAGCTCCATGGAGGTAAGGATGCTGCTGTGAATACTTTCAAACATTCCTAAGAATAGGATGATTAAAAAAAGGAACTATTTTCGGGAACGAATTGCCAGCCACGACAAACGTCAAAAAACGCAAAAAGATACAAAAAACAAACTAATTAGCAAAATGATTACACAGAATTTACTCCTTATACTTTTAATTAGTGAAAATCGACATAGAACTCCAATTAGTAATTTGCTGAGCTTCAATAAAAAAAAAACTAAATCAGTCAATAATGAGTTTTAGAATTGTGCATACGAGCACACCTAAGCACTGCGCCTTTGCGTCAGCGTTGCGTGTTCCACACTGCGCGCGTGCACCGCAGAGACCAAACTGCGTCTTGGATTGGCGCATGGCGACGACGAGCATGCGCAGCGTGGAGCACTCAACGCAAACGCACAGCGCTTGCGTTGGCTCACATGCGCAACGCAACACACGCCGTATGCTAAAACTCTCGAAGTTTAGGACGACTCGGAACACCTGGAGGGGAAGCGCAGGGTTGCGCTCAAGTTCCCACTCGTGCAGCAGGCGCAAGGCCCACGATGTGAAAACGGGACTGATAAGAAGAGAATCCGTGTTTTTTTCGCTAATTGAGGGACTCTTCGTTCACGCTCTGCAAATTTCTAATTGAAACCACGTGTTTATTTTCGCAAATTGAAAAGTTATATAGTCAATTTTGACGGAATTATCTCGTTAAATAGTGTGGCTAGCAAATTGTACCCAAAAAAGAGTTTTTTTTTTTTTTTTAACCAGTTTAGTTTTATGAATTCTTGGTACGCTGTTTACAGATTCCAAGTGCGCTTACCAATCGCTTCCATTAGAAAGAGATATGCTTACTCTGCTTCTTTGATAGGAAGAGCTGAATAGCACCACCAACATCCGAATACGATGGCCAAATTCAATGCGTTCTAAGCCATTGTGGTATACGGGGAGACTACAGCGCTGGTAAAGCAGCCAAGGCCCACCGTTAGGTCTCATCACGAATTGTTCCTCTTACGAAAGAGGATTGAACCTTTGTGCTCACTTGCAAAAAGGGCATGCGCGAAGCCCTCTGGTCTTCAACGAATTCTAAAAACGTATTTCTGCAGCTGACATTCACCTTTTACTGAACAGGAGACCCCGAACTTATAAACATTCCATGAATGTTGTACCAGTGGCGTATTTTCGGTGTGAGGGCTGAGGCGGTTGGGACGTCCACGTAACATCCCACGTTTTTTTTTTTTTTTTTTTTAATTTTTTGGGGTTTGTGATTTTAAAAACACGAGGTTAGAGGACTTCTGTCCTTGTCTGACGTGTTTTTGTGTGTCCCTTGTCTCCTTTTGCGTTCGCGTACCAACATGTTTAACCAACACGCTCTCCTAATTCTATCGTTTTTTTCAGTTCCTTGGCTCCCTGACAATACTTGTTTTATCAACACATAACCATCGTCATGTCTAGACCATCTAGCAATCTATATTTTACGTTTCATTTTAGAATGCTTGCTCCGTTTTATGAAGTTGTTTTACCCACCTCTCTTGGTCGCTATCTTTCTCTCTCTGTATATTCTGGTAGGCCAGGTAGGCAAACATTGAACTCTTCCGAATTGCCGTCGCATTGGTGGATAAAGAACAAAGAAAATTGTTTTCTCCTAGAGCAGGAAATGTTACTTTAGTTCGTCGAATCCACTTCCTAATGTTAAAAGCTGAAAACTGAATGTTATTACTTGATGTGTAGTATGTCGCCGTGTGCCAGTGTGCCAATTGTAAGGCTGCAGAGGCCTTGTCAAGTCAAACTTTTGACTTTTTGCCCCTGCAGCCTACATCTGTTTCTGATGTGAAATAAAGGATTGATTGATTGACTGATTCGTAGACACTATCCGCGGGCACGGTCCTGCAACAACACCACGTGCTCATGGTGCTCTGCGGCCATCAGACGTCCAATCATTGCTCACCATTTAACAATGCGACTTCGGTTGTGGTGTTCTTTTTTTTTTTTTTTTTTTGAAGTCAACAGAGGCGGGGGGAACGGGCTGCGAGCCGAGGGGCAACATGGTTACAAACTGTAGCTCCCTCGAGGCCATAAACGTTTTGTCCCGCGCTTCCCCGCCTTCCGAATTGTCTCTTTGACGCGCACTTGCCGCCGACAATTTATTGGTGTAAGGCTGCACCCAACTTTGTTTCTTTTCTTTTTTTCGTTTTGCGTGTGGAAAAGGAAGGAAAAAACAAAACAAAACACGGTTTTCGTCCAGAAGACCGTCCAGACAACTGTGGTCCAGACGACAAGAACGCGCGCCTGGAGGTGTCGGTTGGGTGTTTTTATTCTTACGACTGTCCGCGGCAGCAGAGAAGTTTGAGGATTCCTGATCCAAACGTGAGTTGTTCAGCTCTTCGTTCGGGTGAATTTATTGTGAACATGCCGTCTCGTGTTTTACAAAAACACGTAACTAAAATTTGCTCTAAATAAACGGAAGAGTCGCGCGATTAGGATCAGCAAGTTGAGTAGACATGCGTCTCCGCTCTTTGCGACCTGACACAACGACACCATGATCGAAATGCTCAAAACTAGACTTCATAGCGGGTTCGTTGAACACCGTAACGCGTGAATATTGCGCGAGATGCAGGGCGAGTCAACACGCTTTTACGCATCTGCGTTACGTCGCTTCGTTTCCGTGAAAGGAGACCTCGAACGAGTTCACACTTTGCCAGTGGAAACATCGCTCGACGTGACAAAGGCGTAAGCTGTGGGGTTCAAAGCGTCACAAAATCAAAATGAAATGTCAAACGCACACAACCTACGAGCGTCGCGGACAGCCCTGCCTAGAACGTAGTTCGTTCGAAATATCAACATAACGTATTCGAAAAGAGGGACCGCGATCACGACCGGAGGGAGCTGACGTACGAACACGTAAAACAACGGAGGAAAACCATCGATGAACTCATACAACATCCCAGAATGCGTCCACTACCTAAGTCGCCCCTGAGTAAAAAACAAAACAGAAAAAAAGAATGTGCGTGATCGCTCTTTTTTGAGCGAACCCAAGCCAGCCAGGCGCAGCGCGGCGGCACGGCAGCACCAACAAAAGATATAAAGTTCCGGTTGTATTCCTACGCCGACGCTTAGAAGCTTCCGCGACGCGAATGGCCCCACAATTAGAAATGTATGGACGTACGCGTCCTTATTATTACTAATTTCAACGTCGTATATTCGACGTTTTCCGTCTCTTAACGCTTCTTCCGTGTAAAAACAAAAGAGGACCCGACGAGGATCTATTTTCTGACGCGGAGTGCGGAAGAGAGCACCCGGACTCTCGCCCGTGCATGCGAAGAAAATGGACAGACGTGGACATGTCTCGTAGCGGAGTGAAAATATCTCGAAATATACGTTCGTAAGGCAGCTCGCCATGACTAACGCCGAAGCTGAATTCGTGCCGCCGCCGGAGGCTCCGGTCTTTGAGCCGACAGCCGAAGAGTTTAAAGATCCCATGGCATACATTGCGAAAATTCGACCCGTCGCGGAACAGACTGGGATTTGCAAAATAAGGCCACCCCCGGTTAGTACCCTGCCATTCTTATGTTACACATTCCACCGCGACATTCGGTCCTCGCTTACCAACACCACCGAAGCCCCGTTGGGGGAAAGAAAAAGCATGTTGCGGCGGCCCAAAATGAGAAAAAAGCTTCCCGTGCGAAACGCACTTCAAACACGAAGATGGCGTCTTTTGTTTTCATATGGGGGATTTAAATCTCCCAGGGTGTGTTCGAGTTCAGGCTGTGTTGTCAAAGTCGGTGAGCCCGCCCTGTTCGGGAGCTTGGAATTTCGAGTTTGAAAGCGGTGCTCTGTGCTGTGTTCCACCCGGACACGAATGACACTGCGCCTTGAAATGGACATTCGAGTCACCTCCCCAGCCTGTCGTCCATCCCAGGTGTAGCTGTGAGGAACGCACGCTGCGTTGGGGGCCGTCAGGCTTTGGGGTCCTGGTTCGTGATGCTTGCGTGAATGCGAGGAACGGATTATCAGTGGATTAGCCGACTTTGTTTTGTCAACTGAGCACGCTGGAAATTTCGTTTGGTGTTCGAAAAGCGAATGAAACAAAATTGGACGTGTTCTGAGTCGTCCGCCTCGTTTAGTGTACGGACAGCTTCAAACAAAAAAACTTACGAGGGCGATAGAAAAAGCGAGGAAATCGAAAGCTGCAGATAAAAACTAGGGTTTTGGTTTTTTTAATTTTTTTTTTTCTTGGGGACGAACGTTTCAAAATGTCCGACTCATAAAATGGCGTCAACGTACTACGTCGAGCGACCCCGTATGCCGTCCCCCTCTCTTCATCAGAGAAGCCGTCATAGGGAAGCGCAGGGGGGCTGGGCCCCCCCGAGTCACCTTTGACTGCTGCTTTTTATTTTTCTCGCCGTATCTCCTCGGGAAAGCATCGGAAGTGCCGCTAAAAATCGAGGCTTCCTTTCGTGTTCGAAATGGAACACTGCCTCGATATTTTTATGGTGATTTACTTATATAATTAATAATGGCCCTGCATCGCGTTCGACGCACTCTCACGAGTAAAAATTCATCGGCCGACCAAATAAAGGACGAGGCGGCTATTCTGCGCGTTGTGCGGCGGAAATTGTACCCGGAAACCGTGAAAATCGATTTTGTAAGAGTTGTGTAGGTCTGAAGTGATATGTGCTCGAGGGAGTTTCCCTTACTTTTTTTTTGTTATTGTTTCTTAGGACTGGCAGCCCCCCTTTGCTGTAGATGTCGAAAATTTCAAGTTCACTCCAAGGGTACAGCGTCTAAATGAGCTTGAAGTGAGTCCCATTTCTGCCACTTTTGGATGTTTGGCCACAAGCTGTGTTCAATCTGTTGCATGCAGTGTGTGCCTTTGGCCTTTTTAGTGTTAGCAAGGACATGTTTTCTAGCTCACTTCCGCTACAATGATGAAGTAGGCCAGCTCATGCATGTTCTCTTCCATGTATTGCATGAAGTGATTATACATTATGCAATTCCAAAAAGTTGTCATTCGTTTTCATTCTTTAATTGTTTAATTCTAACTCCCAATGCTCCTTTTTTAATTGTTACTCGATACTTCAGCACAGTAAATCTCTCTCTATTCCTTTTGTAGGCTACAACTCGCATAAAACTGAACTTCCTGGATCAAATAGCAAAGTTCTGGGATCTTCAGGTAAGCTTCGAGCCCAAGAACAAGCCAGAAGAAAAAGTATGTTATTTCTTGCCTACCTGCGCAATACTGCTTTGGCACAATTGTTCCTTACCGCATATTCTGAATTACCACTGGTTGCTTATGTACTACCCTATCTATGCTCTCCACGCTGTGCACTCTGTTCTGTTTGTTATTTCTTTTGAGATTTTTTAGTTGTTGCACGTGATACGCTAATAAGCACAAAAGTGCATTGTGCTTTGTGATAGCCATCTCACAAATTGTTTTCTTGCATAGGGTTCAAGATTGAAGATACCAAACATCGAGAAGAAAGCCCTTGATCTCTACAATCTATATCGGGTTTGTATCATTCCTTTTTATTATGCAAGGTATCATAATTTTTTTTTGCTTTGCAGGGAAAGCATAGCAATCTAGTTTTCACAATGCCTAAAAGCGCACCCCCAGCAACCAATATTGCAAAATTAGTCTAATCTAAAATGCAACTTGCTTAGCACCCGCTGATAATTAAAATTTTCACATATTTCACCCACCTATCTATTTTCTCATAAGCATGCAGCCATTACACTACACAGGTTTGATCAATACCTATTCTTGCAAGTTTTCTGATAAAAAGCTTCAAGTGCTGAAGCAATGGAGCAATGCTTGCTGGGTTCAGTTATGCCCCTGACCTATGCGATATATATTTTGTGCAAACAATTGTCACAACAAATTCACATTTGCAATTCGCAGGAATATTGCAGATCAATTTCTCATAGCCTCCTTTCCTAGCTTTATGCTTTGGGTGCCAGGGGCAGTGAATTAATTTATATGTTTTTTTATGAAGAAACGACTGTACATATAGTCTGAAAGAAATTATACGCCGTCCCTCGTTCCTCCTTTGTCTTATGCTAGCCTAACATTTATTTGTTTACAATGTCTCACAAACAGAATCAAAAAAATTGTTTAGGATGAAAAATATATTTAAAGTTTAGATGAAACAAAAGTGTCTACGCAACTTTGAAATCTCTGCTCATAAAAAGTATTAAGGTTAATATTCACAGCTTTCTTCAAAGTAACTAAATGTTAATTGTAAATATGTCATTCTTTATACATATTTGGAAGATAACACAGCTTACTAGAACATGTAAGATGTAACATGGCAGCACGGGTCAGTCGTCATTCACGACATTATATGGAAACCTCGGACCACGCATTGTTCTCCTGTTATACGAAATGTATAAATTCATGAGCCCGCCTATTCATATCTATTATATTAATTCGCTTGATAGTAACGATCACACAACACACAAATTAATCTTCTTTGAACACACTGTGCTCATTCGATTTACCTGCACCCGCCGTGCGGTGCAGGGAATTGTACTTCCGGTCGTGTTTTTAGATAGGCTGCAATCATAAATATAATATGGCAGTGTGCACGGAGTTCAGATGGCACAAGTAAATGGAATGCAGCAACTAACTCGAGTACAGTTCCAAACAGCTGAGGCATATTTGATACAACTTACTTGCAAGCCAACAAAAAAAAATATGCAGAAAACAAAGTGGTTAGAAGAGCTGCATGTTATATACGCGCTGGAACCCAAAGACTCTAAGGGATGCATTTGTGGTCATACATTGTCACTTCACTGGGATGGCATTAAGTAAAAAATGAGTATGAAGCAGTGAAAATGTGAACCTGCGAAAGGACATTTTGAAACGTTTTAGCCGAGGTGCTACCAGTAAAATTCTCATCCAGATTTGTAAACGACGAGATGAGTTTGAGTTTTGTCACAAATCGACACCGGGAAGTCTGCGAACTAACCGTAACGCCCCTGCCTCTTTTTATGTGTCTTGGCAGTTTGTGCACGATGAAGGAGGAATGGAGCAAGTGTGCCGGGACAAGAAGTGGACCAAGGTGGCGGCACGGATGGGATACGCTCCGATGCGCACCGTGGGATCCCTCCTGAGGCAGCACTATGAGCGCATCCTCTATCCCTACGACGTGTTTCAGAGTGGTGCCAGCCTAGGCGAAATCGTGAGTCCCCGTTTTCTCTCCTCTTTATGGCTTGTTTGTGTTAGCTGACGTCATTTCCAGGTGGCTGAATTTCTTCTGTTACTTACAAAAAAATATTGAATGCGTTTGCTTTCTTCCAAGCTGCTTTTTCCCTCGGTATTCTAGATTGGGATGAAAAGTGGCTTGGTGAGAACGGGTGTCGAGTTGGATTTGAAAAATCTTATTGTGAGAACCACTTACTCAGTGCCCTGTAGCAGACAGAGATCTTCTCTTTGTGAACTCTTATTTTCTTGAATTAAATGGGAATGTGGCTTAATTTTTTATCTGGAACAACTGATAGCATATGAAATGAATGTAAGGGAGCAAATGAGCTGGTTTCGATTCAATATGACATTAACACCGAGACTGCAGGCAAAAAACGACACAAACACTGAAAGGTCTTGATTTTCAGCATGGGGTATTAATCCTCTGGTAGGTGTGAACAGGTGGCATCGGGAAGGCCTTTTTCTAAGTGATTGTGAACTGGGACTCTGGTCATGGTTTTGTACTAGCTTGATTAGGGAGGCCTTTCAGTGACTGGAAGAACTTCTACTGGGATGGCGTTAGTTTGTTTATAGCAGCTTTATTACAATGGATTTTTTAACTTTTTTTTGTTGTTTTGTTTGGTATTATGCTTTTTAGCATTCTTCCGTATTTGCTCAAGAATATGAATATCAGCTTCTGTGCTACAATAATATAAAAATCAAATATACTTAATCCGATTTCCATCATATTTATTTGGCTCGTCTTAATCAGTTGAAAGGGGGCTTTGCAGCAAGCGTGCAGCCATAGCCATCACAAATGGTTCGTTCAGTGTAGACGACTTCAGCGAACGCCAGCTTTGACTTGCCATAACTGACCTCTTGCCTTGCCCAGATACCTAGCCACTGTAGTGGGCAATGGCAAACCCACACAAATCCTGTTCTAAGGCAAAATTACTCTAGCGTCTCTACAGGCCAATAACCTGTTGTACGACAACAGTGTTGTGAGGTGAAGCCAATGGAATAGAAGGAAACAAAAAGTAAATGTCTGTTATGCCTGCACCTATGCACAGCTGCCCTCAAAACATCTGTAGTGAAGCACAACGGAGAGAACGGGCTTATTAAAGTAGGTTTTTTCAGTAAAACAATATGTTTATGAGGACGACATAGAGATGGGTTTTTGTAGCCACGGCTTCCATGTTGCTGCACATAAGTTGTGAGGCAGGGTATAAAGATGGGAGGAAATGTTTTTCATCCACCTGAGTGGCGTCGTGAAGTTTTAGGTGAGCTAGATGGTGAGATTGACATGGTATACCAGATTGTAGCATTCTGAGCTGTACTTTAAATATGCCAGCTGTTTTGTGACTGAATTGGTCAGCTACTTGTAGCCTTATCGTCATGCCTGGCATTTTCTAAAGTTTGAGGCTAAAATAATGAATTGGTGCAACGAGCAAATTAAGATTATTTCATTTCCTTTAACTTAGAGATAATGTTTTTGTGTTTCTAAGTCTTAAAATTAAAAAATTTGAACAGCAATCATTTAAAGTTAAGAAAAGCATAAGTTGAGTAGAGAGGCCCATTTTTCTTTCTATCACTGCAAACTGTTGAAAGCTCTGGTTTCTTTCGAGGAAGTTGTGTTATTGACGTTTTGTACATTGCAAGAAATGTCAGTTTTATTTTGTATGTTATTCTGTGTTATTAAAAGCCCATCTGAAAAAAAAAAGCTTCGTGAGGAATAGAGAACCAAAGAGTAAAAGATGGAATTGTAACTGAATATAACTTGTTCTATACGTTTCAGCTTCGCTCTTAGTGCATCCAAACGCTAAAAAACAATTCACAACCTGAAAAAAAAAAAAAAAAGCGTTAATACAAGTCACAAAAGTCCGCAAAAGTAAAATTTGAGAAATTTTTTGTTTGTGTGCAAAAATTGCACAATTTTCCAGTAATGTTTTGTAAGTACTAATTATTAAAAAAAATAAACGAATAAAATAAATGACATTCCACATTCTTAATAATATGGTAATGAATACTGTAAACGATTTACTTTTCGCGAGCTCAAATTTTCGCAAATCGGGCCGAAGCTGGAAATTTAAAATTATTCGCGGGTTCTAATTTTCGCGAATCGAGTGTAGCTTCCGTAGCGTTCACGAATTGTTTGCGGGATGTAGCGAATTGTTTGTGGGACATATTTTTCGCGAATTGTACGCGATTCGAGAGATTCGCGAAAATGAGGTCCTCACAAAAATTTAATCGTTTACAGTATGCTTCGACGAATAACAATTACCTGCTGGCAACACTGATCCTCCTACTATACTTCTTTTTTCGTTTGTTTGTAATTTTGTGGTTTTAATAGCCGAATCATGCGCTTCAAGATCGACGCTCTCCGCTTCAAGTTGCTTCAGAATGATTCATTCATTCATTCATTTACCCTTAAAGGTCCTCTTTTGGGGACATTACATAAGGGGGGGGGGGGGGGGGGGGGGGATCAATCACATATCAGTCAATGAAAGAAACAATGAAACAGCAACAAACTATGAAAGAACAACTATTTCATCAACAAACACACACTCAATAATAATCCACCAGGGAACCAAAAATAGAGAGCAAACAGGCAGTCATTATTCCCCTTAAAAATGCAAAACCAAGGGGGAATGGAAAGTGTCCGGGCATATTATTTAGGCGATGCACTCAAGTAGTACTTTCCATTCTGAAATCGCTAGGGAAAAAAATGAGTTATTAAATGCGTTAGTGGATCCAGAGATGCGCTGCACACGGTTAGAGTTCGTTAATCTACGAGAGGATCGGGGAGGAGGTTGTAAAAGCATCAAACTAATGTCCGGAGGATGGTGGAATATTTTGTGAAATAGGCAGAGACGCAGCCTTTACGGCGGGGAGCTAATGAAGTTAGGTTTAACTGAGACTTTAGAGCCGCAACGCTAGCAGTATGACCATATACTGAGTCCCGTTTCCTCATTTTTACCCATGACGCAAGAAGAAGGGCATCGCTTGGGTATCGGGCGCCAGAAATTATGATGGAAGTGTCCTCTAGACTTTGTCGGGAGTCTCAGGTCGTGTTGTACTGCAAAGTTCAACGAACATCACAGCTGACATGCGTTGGGAAATCGACGAAAAGTTGATCTGCTGACAACAAGGAACGCTCTCTGATGAAAAACGAATCAAAATCGGGTGTCGAAGTGGCAATCGGAGGTGAAATCATGTGGTGTCAGTGGAGCAGCGAGAAAACACGTACAGTCAAACCCGTTTATAACGAACAGCAGGAAACACTACAATCAGTTCGGTATAGCAAAAACCATTTACAACGAACTTCCACGATGCGTTCGTTCTAAGGTCGAGAGCTTCTCTTTCTTTCTCATATCTTCACTTGCGCCTTGTAACAACGCGTTGTAAAGTTTTTTTGTTGTTGTTTTTGCATGCGTGCAGCGTTTTTTTAGCTTACCTCCTCTTCTGAGTCTCTTCTCTTCGTGGGCAAACGCTTTGGGATGGATTTCTTTTTTGGGTGCATGCGTGCAGGGTGTATTTTTTAGCTTTCTCCCCTTCTGAATCGCTTTTCTTCACTCAATTTTGTTTGCAAGTTGAGCTTTTGGAATTTTCTTCTTTTTTCTACTTCTTTTTTGAGGGAAGGGACAGGCTAGAAGACAATTGTTTGTACGTTTTAGGAAGCCTTTCCGGGGGGGAAAAGTTTGATATAGCCAATATGTTGTTCGTTATAGAAAGTACTTTTTACATGCATTTTTATTTAAAAGTTTTGTGAGTTCAATATCGACAATAATTCGCAGTACGTGGGTTCGGTCTAAACGGGTTTCACTGTAGTACTCCAGTGCAACTGGAGGGACGCTGTTTGCTTTTGTTGCTGTTATGTGCTTTGCGGAGAGAGCGTGCTGCTTTGTTCGAATTCAGTTCTATACTTCGTCCTTACGGCTGTCGACCCAAAGAGCTCGGAGCTCAACCCGCCTTTTTCGTGGGCTCTGGACGGCTCGGGCACCGCGGCAGAGAGGGAGAGTCTGGGCACCGAACGTTGCCAACTTCCGTGTTCCAGCCCCGTGCGGCCTTCCTCTGCCAAGCTGCCTCAGTGCTACGACCCTGCAGCCACCGCATCCAACAGGGGTTTCATTCCATGATGCAAAACAATTTTTTAAATCGTGTAGCAGACGAAACTGTCCGCCACAAAGTGCAGGCGAAGGCGCGTGACCTAGCACCGGCGTTTCTTTGGCCCCGGCAACCCATTGCTTTGGCTATGTCGGAGCCAAGCTGAAACAAAATATAGGTTATTTTTCTGTCTTGTCAGTGATAGAATTTTTTTTATTATTAATATTTTTTACACAAGTTGTTATCTGGTGTGTTTAACCTAACTCCTTTTTTGTTTTTAAATTTTTTGTGATGAAAATATTAGAGTGGCATTACTGAAGTGTGGTATGTTTTGTAGTTTACTATGTGTGTTGCATAATATTCCTTTGTTGATATTTGCTACAGTTTTAAATATTTCATCACGGTAAGCATAGAAGTTGGGGGCAGCAAGTTTATGCACGTAGGACCAATGCAACTTGGACTGCCTCGACTCATACCTGCAGTGTATGTTATGGTTTACAGTTTGGGATTCATTTATTTTAAAAATATCTCGGTAAATGTACTCCTTCTCTAGGCATTCATTCTTTTTGCCGACTCCTTTCCTCTTCTAACAAAGGAGCCATTAACTACGGCAGGTCCGGCCACCATACAGTCAGTGACGTTTGTGTAAAGAAGAAACACTCCTCGAACATTTTCTAACATTTTCTTTCTTTTTCTTTCCCTTTCCTTTGCTTCCCTGCTCCTCTCCGTCCTTCCCTAACTCCCCTCCGTCTCGACGGGACTTCGCACGAACCGGGATGTACGCTCTCCCCTCCCACGCACGACCGGCCACGCCGCGTTCAGAATCTGTCAGAGGACTCCGAGGACTGCGACAAGAAGGACCGGGATTACGTGCCACACGGAATCCCGTCTCGTCAGGCCATCAAGCCGCCACCCGACCGTTCGGCACGGCGGTCCAAGCGCCACGGCAAGGAACTGGCAGAGGACGCACCCTCTGTGAGTCAAGTGCCATGGCCCCTCTTCGGCGTCGCCTTCAGTCGGGTGCGCGAAGCGCCGGTAGAGCTGCCGCGGTGGTGGCGTGGGTTGCGACGAGGGGTTGCGACGAGCTGCTTTGAGACAGAACTGGGTGTCCTTAGGATGGCGGAGCGGTTCTGTGTCTCTCGGATGACGCAATGGCAGAGAATGAGCAAATGAGGATTAGATTTGGTTGAGCGTGTTGGGGACTAAATAGCAAAAACGAAAGAGGGACATAGGAGACGACGCAGATGGCACGTCTCTACTGTCTTCCGTGCCTCTCTTTCATTTTTGTAATAAGGAATAGGTGTTTCCTGCAGAAGAGACATTGGGGTGGAAGGTGGAGAAGGCGGTAGCAAAAGGTGCGAGAAGGGGCCCTGTGCACTAGCGGTGCAAGTTGCAGGACGGTACTTGCGTAGGTGATCCTGCCCTACGCATGCGCTCACCAAAAGGAAATGTTTTTGCTGGCTTTCGGGGAGATGAATCTCTGGAAGAACTGGCTGGCAAAAAAATGTTCTACAAGCAGAATTTGGAATGGTTAGAGTGGAGCTATAAGAAACGAGTCTATACCAGGTTTCACCTTGCGGCAGACTGCAGCGGAAGTTAAAAGCAAACCTGGGCACTCCGGTGCTCCACATGTGCCACGTGACCGCCGCATGACGCGCTCGGAGCTGTGGATTGGCTCCGATGGCTCGTAGTGTCTGCTTCGGTTTATCGTAAGGTGAAACTGAGTGTAGTCGACTTTACCACTTTTGCATGTTGCCCCTAAGTGTCACTGTTATTCCTGACAGTTTAGAAAATCTTTAGCATCATTTGGGTACAATAGTAGTTTTTCCGAGTTCTCTCGGGATGCTGACCTAAAGATTCTACTTAGTTGAGTTGGTTAGATTTTACTTGGAAAGAGCCTGTCACAACACCTTTACCTCTGTGTGGGCAGGGCAGATTTGGACTTGGTGGTGGTTTGTATAAAGTTCAATTAACAGAACTGCAGAAAAGTGAATTGCAATGCCTTCTTTCTTTTTCTTTTAGCCTGACGACGTCGACTACTCCACAAATAGTGAACTGAGAAAGTTGCAGTTCTATGGCGCAGGTCCCAAGATGCCGGGATACTGTCCGAAAGGTAGGTCATTTTTTTACTCATTGTACATTGTGAAGCATTCATCTGGCACACACACCACCAAAATATTCACTCTACATGTGACAAAGCTTGCTGAAAGTGGAACCAGAAAAAATACATATATATATAATTTCATTGTTTTTTTTACCATTTACCAAAAGTTAGTCTGAAGGTGAGCTAGTTGGTACATGTGAGATATAAGTGTCAGCTAGAACATAAACACAAACACAAAGGATAGAGGGGGACAAATGCACCGTCTATTTGCCGCAAAGTCGACCAAACAACTACTCAAAAGAAAACATGCAACTCAAACTATAGAAAACAATATGCCATGTGCAAGAAATGGGTTATATATCACATTTCCTTATCCTGCGGGGAATGCTATATCGGTTAGACGGGCCGGTGCATTTACAATGGAACATGAGAACACTCGGCATCTGTGAAGACCATAGCAGCAGGGCATTTATGAGCTCATTGCCATGCGTGTAAATGCAACCCAGCGCTTAACAACATATACGTGCCTGCACGAAACAAGAATCCGTATGCATGCGAGACATTTGAGGTATTGGCGATAAAACAAAAAGCAGAAGAGTGTGTTTGCAACACTTCGATTGCACTCCAAGACACGGAGAAACCATATCTGCGGTGCTTCAGCTCTCCGTGAACTGTGGTGAATGTGCGGGTGGATTACCTTTGACTTTTAACTTGTTTTCAATAATGTGGTTTGTGTGAAAGATATGTGAAGAGGAAGTACTAGGGGTTAAAGACGGAAGAAGAGGAATTATAAGCTAGCTGTTAGTCAGCAGTGTTGTTTGTTCCTTTCTATCCTTTTTGTTTGTGTGTATGTCCTAGTAATGCAAAACTATCGAAAGTATCGATAGTTGCCAGAAATCTGACTATCGATAGTAAAAAAAAAACAAAAAAACTATCGATAGTCGACTATCGAAAAACTATCGATAGTACTATCGATAGTCAGCTATCGAAAAGCTATGGATAGTACTATCGATAGTCGAGTATTGGAAAATGATCGGTTATCGGAAAACAATCGATAGTAGACTATCGTAAACCTATCGATAGTACTGTCGACGGTTTACTATCAATAGGTTTGCGACACTAGTAGTTTGCGTCAACCCCTCTTCTCTTTTTCTCGCTTTATTCTTTTTCAAATGGGACACCAACTAGCCCAAGGACTTGTCATAGTGGTGCAAAACTATCAATAGTACTATCGATAGAATCAATAGTTGCCAGAAATTTGACTATCAACAGTAAAAGCTATCGATATTACTATCAATAGTCGACTATCAAAAAATTATTGCTAGTACTATCGATGGTAGTACGATAGTCAACTATCGAAAAACTATCGATAGTACTATCGATTGTCGACTATTGATAGTTCTGCGGCACTATCGATAGTTTTGGAAAAATTAACGACAGTATCGATAGTCTATTTACCGATAGTTTTGCATCACTAGTACAGTATAGACCGCATATAACGTATGTCGCGGGAGTCGCGAAAATCCGCACTATAAGCGGTACCGTGCTATAACCAAAACATCAATTTTTCAGGCCAAAATACATGCCATGAGACAACTTACCTTTGTAAAACAATTTATTTTATATTAGATGAAAAATAAAGCTTAGTTTGAGGAAAGTCTTTATTTTACCAGACTAGTACACTTCTCTCTCAAGTGTGTCACACATTTTGAAAGAAATGAGTGACTTTTGCCTGGCACAGCCTTTTAACGGCGTCGCAAGTTGCGGACGGACGTTGCGAGCGTTCAGGATTGCTAACCCTAATCACTTTTCTCTGGTGATGAAAACGCGTGAAAATTCTCATCCTTTATACGGTACGCGCCAGTAATACCTCCAACTTGAGCGCAGGCATGAAATGCTCCAAATAAGAAATCCGGACGATGTTCGAAAACACAAATGCTTAGAAAGCACCTCCGTAGTCGAAATAAACACAACGACACGGGCGTTTCTGCCGTCGTGAGAGTGCCGCCACGACATCGCCGCACGAGTAGGTGGATCTTCCCTTCTAGTACATGCTGGGTTATCATAGCGACACACAACGAAAATTCACAGTCAAGGATAGCGCTTTTACGCGGAACGATGAGCTTCCACCACGCTGTCTACAGTAGAGTTGGTGGTGTCTACGACGGCGATCACAACCGACGCCTTGTTTGTGGATAGAAGCAGCCAGCACGCGACCGGCATGCAACGTGCGCGAACACGTCTCCTCGACCTGCGATTGGTCTGTCGTTCCGGTTGTTTCCAACCTTTCCAACGCAGCGGAGGGACGCACGCATGTGAACGACACGTGCGTGTGTCCCTCCGTCGCTATAGCAACGGAAGCCTCTTCCTTCGCTTCTCCCCGCTTCTTCAAGCAACCTCCTTGCCCCGCAAGTGCCGCTTGCGGCTAGCGCCGTTGTCTAGTGTCGCACAGGGAAGCGTATTCGCCGGTCGGTGGGATCGGTCGGCGGGCTGTTCCAGAAACCGCACTATAACCGGTATTTCCCTTCGCGCGCCTGCATTTTAAGCGGTATTTAATAACATGGAGTTCTATGGGAGGCAAACTTGTGGTTTAAAAAAGCCGCGTTATACCCGGTCCTGCACTATAAGCGGTTACGTTTTAAGTGGTCTATACTGTATGTCCTAGCTGACACTTCTATACAAAAAATAAGGCAACTGAGAAGCCAATCAAAAAAGATTCCCTAATCTGAAACTTTCCGGTTTTCTAGGATCTCCGGGATATTGTTGTGATGACCTAAAAGACGACTGCTGCGAGACAAAGGAGGAACGGAAACCAAAACCCGTAAGTCCTTCACTGGTTAGCTCTTCAGTTTCCAGCTAGGCAACTTTTGCTGTGTTATTCCAGTTAGAAGGCATGATTTGTTACAAATGTGGAGCAGAATTATGTTTCATACATGGTGAGATGGGCAACAACGTTCTTGTGGGCATCATGTGCTCCTGTTTGAACTCCGTATTGGGAATGTGACTAAGACACCAGTTTGTCTAGTCTGTGGGCAATACATAATACACTGCGTCTGGTCTGCATCTTCGGTATTCACATTTCAAGACAGCCTTTTATACTGTTCAGAGACTAAAGCTTACGCCAGGCTCACTCTTTCCTGCAGTGCAATGGCCCTCGCTACTTAAGACGGAGTTGCATTGGCTTCGGTACATATAGCTCGAATCACGGTCAACTTGGCGGGGTGCGATTAACTGGCTGCTTTGTCACCTTAGTGCCACAAAAGAGTTCACCTTACTCGCTCTTCGTAACAGCGAGACAGAGTGTAAGAGAGGAAAGGCAAATACATTCTGGACTGTGTTGGTCTCTATGAGTCTGGCTTTATCGGGAGAAGGCCAGAACCTCCTTGCCTCGGTTAATGGCTCGTGCCCTATAGTCGCCGACAGAATGAGAACGGCGGATTATCTCTTTCGACTGTCTAGCTTCCAGCTCGCGCCCGTTGCCTTCTGCCGTGCCCTTCTGCATGCGCCTCCTCAAGGTTCACGAAACGCCGAAGGTTTATGGAAGGAAAAGCCGGACGCGGCCGCCACTCTTGTCCAGTCGGCGACAATAGGAGCGCCGCTCCCTCGTGGAAAGGCGTGGCACGGGGGTGCGAGACGGGCGCGGGTTCTTAGCGCACCTGCGCTCTTTCTTTTGCGCCGCTTGCTCCCTGCTGCGAAGCAGATTGAGCAGATGGTGTGCCACACGTGCGGGCGGGGGGACGACGAGGAGAGCATGCTGCTGTGCGACGGCTGCGACGACAGCTACCACACCTTCTGCCTGCTGCCCCCGCTCCAGGAGATACCCCGGGGGGACTGGAGGTGTCCCCGCTGCGTCGCTGCCGTGAGTGAACCCCAATCGCTGGGGTCAGGGTGCTTGGTGCTTGGAGGCTTCCTTCCTCCTCGGAAGCCAAAGGCAGTCTGGGGACGGGCCAACCCTCCCCCGCCCCCCAAAACGAGGCAGCAGTGCTGGATTTTGATGCAGAAAGTGTTTTGTCTGCCGAATTCTGCTACGAGACAAGTGTCACATAAAACCTCGACGTCACGTGACATGTTGATGTCATTATGACATCACCGTGACATCATCTGACACTGTGACGTCATTGCGCCGTCACCATGGTGCCCTGACGTTCTGCCGCACCGTGACGTCACGTGACATTGTGATGGCATGTGGCATCACGGTCGTGTGACCTTGTGCCGTCGCATGCACGTGGCACGTGCCCGTCTCATTCCATGAGATTCTGTGCTCCCCAGTCAGTCTTTGTCGGCACGATCGAGCTAGGTGGTGTCATTTGTTACGTAGCCTACCGGGAACCAACATGGGGCACAAACCGGACACAAGTGCTGCGTCGGCGTTCGGCCGGGACTCTGGTTCTCGCTGATTGAACGCGAGTCACAGCTGATCGCAGATGCAGCACTTGTCTGCAGTCTGCGTGCCATGCTGGCCCAGTAGGGGACATGATAAAAACTGGCCCAGCTGCCTCGTTTTCTAGGGGGTGTTGGGTAGGCACAGGCATCAGTATGCGGCCAAAATGCTTTCGTGAGCAGGTGTGCATCTCGGGCTGTTTGCTTACGCCTTCTGCAATGCTGCACATTGGCTAGGCTGTGAGTTGCAGCAGTCGCTCTATTACCATGAAAAGTTAGATTGATTTGCAGGTGTGTTATGCCCGTGCCCCACTAGAAGGACAGACAAACGAAAGACAGCGACAAGCCTCAAACCCTTGCAGCATGCTCGCGATGGTATCTTTGGCAGGCGTTTAGTCGTTCGGTGCTCGGTGCTCGTGAAGTAAGCACGAGCGACTGCAAGCCTCCCAAAGATACCCTCGCGTGCATGATGCTGAGGTTTGAGCATAGCCTCTTTTATTCTACAAAGCCTCTCAAATCGTGAAAGACTCTGGTTTGAGCTTGTCGCTGTCGTTTGTTTTTGTCTGTCATTCTAGTGGGACACGGGCATTAGGAATTGGCACTCCGACGTCAGTGGCGTTTTTCGTCGATGGCTTGCCTTAGCACAACGCTTTATGCAGATGGAGATAGTACACTTCATCGTTCCTCGTCCGATTTGTGTTGCAGTCGTGTTTCGCTCCGAGCGGTAATGTGTACTCTGTGTTTGTATCCATTGTGATGACCTTTTCGAGGAATTTGATTATGGTTCCTAAGATTTGTACTGGAAAAGTGTTCTTAAAAAGAAAAGAAAAAAAGCTGAATCTTAAGAAAATTGTGAAAATGCTTACTGCATCTCATCTCTCGTTTGGGGACTTGCATCCGACCCAACTCTGAGACTCGTGCATCTGAGCCATACGTCTTATGAATATAAAAAAATATTTCCACAAGACTTTTTTTTTTTTTTTTCATGGCGGTTGCAGTTTGTTTACGTGGGCGGGTACACTTTGCCAGAGCTCTTGGATTTACCTCACTAGTACTTTTCCCGGACATGTTTCGGGGCTTCCTCGACGGCAACCGGTGCTCTGATAGCCCCGTTTCTGGACGTCCGTTGCAGGAGGTGCGGAAACCCCAGGAAGCGTTTGGTTTTGAGCAGGCTGTGCGCGAATACACACTCCAGGACTTCGGAGAGATGGCGGACCGCTTCAAGTCCAACTACTTCAACATGCCCGTGCATGTGAGGGACCGCTTTGCCACTTACTCTCTCTCCTCTGGGTTTGGGTGATACCACCTAGAAGAGAAGGCCGAGCTTCAACCTGTCTGCCGCTTGAGGCACCATGCGCAGGCCGTGTCTCCTAGGTGGTGTTGCTTCTGGGCCTGAAGATTGTTTTTCTTGCAGCCATGTGACTCTAAGAGTTTTCATCATTTGTGCATCTCCATCAATGCGGCACATTAGTTTCTGCTGCTCTCAGATATTGTCTGTTTCTGTCTTGACTTATGTTCGTAGTTAAGATTGTTTTATGGAAAACGTGGAGGCAACTATATAGATTTCTAGTGATTTCAGATGGAACTGTAGGGTCAGAAACACTTAATAAAATTAACTAGTTGCGATATTACTTGAGTTTTGATCCTAATAATTTTAACTCGAGATGAAGTCCCACCAAGTGTGTTACACCTTTGTTTTGCCTCTTCACAAATCTTATTATTTATTGAAAGCTGAACCTGCAGACTGCGTTAGTTCCCTGAGAGTTGTTGTTCCTAATAAGCTTACGAGGACACGTTTGGTGTTGGTCGGGGCCCCTAAAGACGAGCCCGTTGACTGGGTCTGGCTGCCGTTTCAGATGATCTCGACGGAAACTGTTGAAAAGGAGTTCTGGAGGATTGTGTCTGCCGTAGACGAAGACGTCACGGTGGAGTACGGAGCAGACCTGCACTCAATGGAACACGGCTCGGGTTTTCCGACCAAGAACAGCGCCGACTTGATGCCTGGGGACGAGGTAGGTCGCCAGGAAAACCGGGGAAAAGGGAGAGAACTTGTTATTGCTCATGAGTCCATGCAAACACCAATTCAATTGCGATGTCGTGTGCCCTGCTTTCAGCTTTTCTCCTCATCCTTTTTGCCCTCCATAACCGCTTTTCCCCCTGCCCCAATGATGATTACAGTTTCGTTGTGGTCACAGTTGTTGCAGGCAGAAAACTGGATGGATATTAGTAGAAGCGTATTTACTAAGAGGGCTTAAACATCATATGTCATGTGCACGGATGCAAATATTTTAGGGCAAGGGTTTTCAGTCTCGAGGAGGGCTTATCTCTTCGTTTACAGCAGAGGAACCCCTGCTGCTTCTGACACAAGACTGAAAACAATTGTGTGTAAACCAGGGAGAGTGTATACAGTCGCCGACCGATTTTTCGGGCACCGAAATTTTGGACATGCCGATTATTCGTACGTGGGTTGACCTACATTTGTGTAAATACGGTATGAAATTTTGCAGAGTTCACTTTTGACGATTTTGAAGTTGAAAGACAGCATTATGGCTACCGAAGTGCTAGTGGTTGATTTCCCGACTGCACGCTCTCTACGGTGCTAGGCGCAGTTCCCATAACCGTACAAAATGAGGGTTGAAGAACTGCATTCTTCTATTACCGCCACATTCTGTAGTGGAATCTTATTTGTAAACGTTCACTTGCAAGACGTGAGGCAGTTGGAGGGTTTTGGGAGCCTAGAAGACCAATTGCAATGCTAAAAAAATGAAAGCCGCCTACAACTCCCTGTAATGCCGAATTAGAGCGCAGCTGTTGAGGAGGAGGAGGGAAGTGTACTGGGGGGGTGGGTCAAGTGACCTCAGGGGGCAGGGGGGGTCACGTGGCCTTTGGGGGGTCACATGGCCTTGTGGGAGTCACGTGACCTTGGGGTGTCGCGTGACGTCGGGGGTCACGTGGCCTTTGGGGGTCACGTGACCTTGGGTGACGTGGGGGGGTCACGTGACGGTGCCGATGACGTCATCAGTGATGTCACTGATGACGTCATCAGTGACGATCACGATGCGGGTACCGATGACGTTATCAGTGACGTCACTGATGACGTCATTAGTGATGATGCCGATGACTATCCGGATGCCGGTGACGTCATCAGTGACGTCACTGATGACGTCATCATTGGCGATGACGTCAACGGGGGGTCACGTGACCTCAGGGGCATCTCCAGGTCACGTGACCTTGGGGGGTCACGTGACCTGGGTAACCATCATGACCCTCGTGAGGGTAACCCTTGTAACCCTCGTGAGGGCAACTCTCGCGACCCTCGTGAGGGTAACTCTCGTGACCCTCGTGAGGGTAACTCTCATAACCCTCGTGAGGGTAACCCTCGTGACCCTCGTGAAGGTAACCCTTTTGAGGGTAACTAACCCTCGTAGCCCTCGTGAGGGTAACCCTCGAGAGATTAACCCTCGTAACTCTCACGAGGGTTACGGGGGTTACTCGCGGTTACACCGACGCCGACGCCGCTTAAGCCGGGAACGGGCGCCTAAGAGCTGCGCTCTAAAACAAAAACCTTGGTCCAACGAAATTCGCGATTTAACAAAATTTTCGGCTCAAAAGGCTCTTCGTTAAATCGAGGTTCAAGTGTATTAGCTTGAGAATCGCTGCCTTCTTTTCTAACATTATGGTCGAGTACTTTCTGCGCTTCTTAGCGACACATCGCGGTGGCGGAAGAACGGATGGGGCAGCGATGTCCAAGACAGCTTAGTAAAAAAACACGATTCACCAAGACGAGATCAAGATGAGAGGCGCAAGTCCGCAATTACAATGGCAAATGAACAAAGCAAAATGGTAACAACAATGATGATGATAATGATGCGCAACTAGAAAAAAAAAAAGCCGTACAGCGCCCCTAGCGGTAGGATTTAGTAGTAAGTAGCGCTGCCAAACCAAGCAAATCTTTGTGCAGCCAACATAGAATCCGAAATTGCCGCTTCTCGGTGTCGTTTCTCACTGACCGCTTGCGACGGCTCTGTCCAAAAAATCGAACTTTCGGACTTTGATCTGTCCGAAACATCGGTCGTGAATATGCACTAGTTTTATCGGCTAGGTCACTCTTCCTCCTTTAGGTCTGAAATATTGAACAAGTCCGAATTATTGGCGTCCGAAAAATCGGTCTGCGACTACATGTGTGAGTCTGTGTGCGGCTTGCTATCAACGTGGGTTGAGGCGGCGTTTCTGCGTGGCGTGGACGGCACCATAAACACAAAGCTCGAAATGGGACGCTTTACGAACGTATGTGTGTGGCGTTCCAGTAAATCTTTAATTGCCTGTTGGCTTTGTCTCAAACATCACACAACCTTACCATTCGAGGTTGTATCGTTCAAGAACGACTGGCTATTCGCAGTGAGCTTGTTTCGGTAAAGACAAGCTTAGACCTTACATCTTTGGCCTTGCACTCCCCGGTTACATTCCAGGATACGGGGCATGCACTGAACTCGCGACGCCTGAATGGGTTTCTGCCTGCGCTGTCTTTCCTATTTTGTTTTGTCCGAACAAACGTTTTTGTAAGGAAGACAAGCTTCCCTATTTTTATCTCCATAGTTTTCCTTTCGCACAAAAGTACTCGGACTTCGGGGTCATGGAAATCGGGGAGGAAATGTGTAAACAAAGTGAAGTGTCTTTCCCTACATTGTTTTACTTTGTCATGGACGTCCTCCAACCGTAAGGTCCGCAACCACGTCATTCAAGTGGGATGAATGTTTGCGGAACGCAGAGTCTACGTTCGGGTATTTGTTGGGGTGGGCGATCACTGTGTTTTTTTGGAAATCTATATTCGCCCAGAAAGTGGGGTGGCGACTCGGGGATGGGCAATGACTTGGGATATTACAGTAGTTTTCCATTCATGGAATGCTCAGATTTACTGAAATAGTGCTTAAACTAGAAATACACTTTACCTAGGGACGAGCAAGAAAGTTTGGGAGTTGGGCGACCTCGGAGTTTTTGGGGACCCGGTTTGAGAGCCCGTGCCTTGGGGCTCTGCAGCAGCACAATTAGCAGGGTTTTTACAGGCCTCTTTGAGTGTCTGTTTTTGTGTTAGAAAGTGTTACTGTGTAACGGTGGTGGTATCTCTTATTTGGCACATGCACAAACTCCCGTTTGTTCTGTCGACGCAGGACTACATGAAGTCGGGTTGGAACCTGAACAACCTGCCAGTTGTCGACGGCTCTGTCCTGCGCCACATAAATGCAGACATCTCTGGCATGAAGGTGCGTCTCGAGTCTTTTGCAGCTTCTCTGGCGGTTTTAGCGACTCACTTCTTTTTTGCTTTGTTCGCTTCGCACCGCCGTGTGGGGCACATGTGCAGAAAATGTCTTTTAAGAGGATAGGCCTGACTGAATGGTGTGTCTTGCTTGCAGATCCCTTGGATGTATGTCGGCATGTGTTTTGCCACGTTCTGCTGGCATAACGAGGATCACTGGAGCTACTCCATCAATTATTTGCACTGGTAAGGGATGATGGATGCACGTCCATGCCTTGTAGCCTCTTTTGCTGTTCCAGATTTCATGCTAAACATTGTCTTAAGTCGGAGTGAGAAAATTGTCATGGTACATTCAGCGCATGAAAATGCCATTCTCTTCTCTCTTACATAGTTGTGCAGAATGACTGTGGGAGCACTCTTTCGAAGATTTCTGACATTGTGATTTGTTATTACTCTAGCGTATAGGAGAGTATAAATCAACAAACAGCCAATAAACAACTCTTGCACCAGCTAGGCCAGGGTATCGTCCTTGCCCGAAATGAAGTTTTATTGGTTCAATTAATATTCTTGTTTGGCCGCATTTGAAGCACTATGATCATTTGGTTCTCACTTTGTTAGGAGTTCTGGGAGGTGTCTCAGGCTGTCCCGTCTGTTTGCCTCCTGCTCTAGGGGTGAGCCCAAGACATGGTACGGTGTGCCTGGTGGCAAGGCAGAGGTCTTTGAGGCGGCCATGCGCAGCGCAGCCCCCGAGCTGTTCCACGCGCAGCCCGACCTGCTTCATCAGCTGGTCACAATCATGAATCCAAACATCCTCCAGGCATCTGGAGTGCCTGTAAGGCCACCCCCACTGAGACTAACAACTCTGCTCTCTCCTGCCTTTTCTTCTGCATAAATAAGACTGCTGCTTTACTACTGATCTTTTTTGTTTGTTGGAATTGACCTTTTAAATGTAAGGTTGTGGTTCTAAACTCCTAAATGCTGCAAGCCTGTGGACGAATGAAGAACCGAAAGTGTTTTTGTGCCCTTTTCTCATTGCAACTCCTGCAAGAAACTCTTGTTTATGATAGGCTGTGCATTTAGAGACTGCAAGGAGTGGTCTGTAACCTTACTGACACACCCTGGGTGTTGTTGAGTTCTTGGTACTCTGTCATGACTTTGAAAGGTCACTCAGGAAATACTGAATGATGCTAGATACTGCAACTCGGTGATGACCCTTGTTTAGGCCTTTAAAGGACCAGCATATTCCTCAACCAAAAATGCAGACTAACTATTTCAGTTCCTATTGTTATGCTATTTGTTCTTTGTAGCTATTAGTTTATTTTCACAAGTAATGTGCTTCCAGTTCTGAAATCTAGTTGACCACTTAAGGGGGGACATGGGTCTTTGGAGCCAAAAACTTCCTAAAACTGCATTCTTTTGAAAACAGCGATGGCTATTGTTCCTCTCAATCTACCAAGCTTCTAATTTCGTGGATGAATATTTGAGCTATAAATACCTTTATAATGTCTATGCGTGCCAGAATGTGCATTAAAGTTGACTCTAAAACATTGTTTTCACATAACACAATTTTTGGACTCGTTGAAAATTTGCAGAAGGGATATCTCAGCATCTACAGCAGTCAGAAATATAACCTTTCTTGAAATGTGTTGCTAAATGTGTGAAGCATACAATGTTGAGAGCAGATTTTTTACTACAAGTCTAGAAAATTTTTTATTTTATTTTTTGTTTTATTACTTGTTATCCATGCATTGAGCACTGAACTTCAATATGTTGTAAAATCACTAATAATGGGTTTATCTTAAAAGTACTTCCAACATTGTATTCTTTACACTTCATAGTATCTGGCCATGTGTTAAAAAGGATATTTTGTTGAGCAGTTTTTTCCCTATCATTCCTCCAAACAAAGGCAGGCAAGTTTTAATTATCTTCAGGAAAATTCTACTGAATGAAGAAATTACCAGATATATGAAATCAGCACAAAAAGCTGAACAAGCTTGTGCAGTTTCATTGAGTTTGGTCATAAAATAAGAAAAAAGCTCCAAGACCAGTGTTCCCCCTTAACCCAAATTATGATTACTATTTATGTACAAATAAAGGCACAAAAGAGCAGGCAGGACAGGTGCTTGCCTTTATCTTTTTCACGCTTTATTTGTACCTAACAATGCATTAACCCCTTGATGGTAAATTTTTTTATGCAAAATTTGTACCAATATGGTTTAATCTGGTTTGATGGCTGACAAGGTCATCTTGTAAAACTATGTTTGACAAGCAAACCTCATCATGAACTACGGAAATGGTGCCAGAAAGGTGGAACAATGTGAGCTCGTCATAAAGGCTGAACTGCACGTGAGCGATTTAGCGAGCGACGAGACTAGCGACAGCGATGAGAGTCTGCGGTGAGCGACAGAGATTTCTCGCTGTCGCTTCTCACGTCGCTTGGTTTTTGTGTTTCTAGAAAATGTCGCTCATCGCCTTGGTCGCTTGCGGTCTGCCTCATCGTGTGGGTCGCCGTCGCTTGTCCTTTCTCTCGCCAAATCGCTTCACGTGGTTTGTACTTAGACCAGAAAATAGACGATCATTCGGGACAAGCTGAGCTTGTCACAAACCATTGAGGGGTTAACTAATCCAGCATCATACTTTACTAGGCCACATTTTAGCATTGTCTCGATCAGCTTGTTGCACAATTGAAGCAACTCTCACGATGAAAAGACGGCGAGCCTTAGTATCGGTCCATTTACTTAATTGTGGCCTTCATCGATCTTTATTGCAGATTTATAGAACAGACCAAAGTGCCGGGGAGTTTGTGGTCACCTTCCCCAGGTCCTACCATGCAGGTTTCAATCAGGGCTACAACTTTGCAGAGGCTGTCAACTTTGCACCGGCCGACTGGGTGAGCCTGCATCTCTTCACCTCATTGGCACAGGCCGGCAGTGTTAACACTTACGGGCATTGCCGCCTCTCTCTTTGCCCAACAACAGCTCCCCATTGGCCGAGTGTGCGTGTCGCACTACAGCATGCTGCGGCGGTTCTGCGTGTTCTCGCACGACGAGCTCGTCTGCAAGATGGCGGCCGACCCCGACCGTCTAGACATAAGCCTGGCTGCTTCCACTTACCAGGATATGCTCAAGATGGTGGAGACGGAGAGGGAGCAGCGCAGGAAGCTTCTCGAATGGGTCAGTGAATCCTTTGTCTTTTTTTTTAAGCAGGGAATGTGTTTTACGAGTCGTTTTATATGAAAAAATTGTCACAATCGACAGGAACGACCGACGCGGACAACCGTCATGGATGAGGATTGAGATGCATTTTAATTTCTATCTGATGTTTCTTCAATTACTGCATATAAACACAGTTCAGTTTCATTCTGACTTTGACAGAGATTGGTACATTTTACACCGCATTGTAAAAAAAAAAAAAAAGATGTTTAGGGGGTCATACATAAACTGTATGTCATAATTCTTCATATTCATCAAGACAAGGTGTACTATTTCTGATCAGGCAAACAAGAACCAGGGAAGGGAGCTGAGGGAAGTAGGGGGTTATGAAAAACACGAAATCTGTATGACAGAATATGTTACTTTTCCGAAATATATGTTCGTTGACCTCCAGATATGATAAAATACAATGAAGAGAAGGTTTCGAGACTGAGCTTGGTTTGTCTTGCCTTGTCTTGAATTTTCTGTTGCATGTATGGAAACATGGGAAGTGTGATGTCGACAAAGTTTATTGATGGATCATTTGGGTTTAAGTCGCTCTCTAGGAAAAGAATTAAACATTATCTCTTTAATTCTTTTCATAATAATATGTTAAATCTGAGGCTCCCTGAGGAATTACCTTTTTTTCTCTTTGGCCGGTACTCCAGGGCATCTTCGAGGCAGAGCGGGAGGCATTTGAGCTGTTGCCAGACGATGAACGACAGTGTGACTACTGCAAGACCACCTGCTTTCTCTCTGCTGTCACCTGTTCCTGCAACAACAGTAAGCAGCACCTGACTTCACACCCTTTTGGCTACACTGCAGCCAGTTGAGGTTTTGACCACCGAAAGTAGTAGTATGTTACAAGGCTACGAAGATAAGTTGCATTTGCCTATTAGTTTGTTATATTTTCTGAGAAAATTAATAATAAATACGGGCAATTTTTTTATGAGTGAAGTATGACCTTCCAAGTACCCTCACTACTGTCAAACCTGTTTATGTCAAACTCGCAAAAAACTGTCTACCTGTTGGATGTAGCGGGTAATTCAATATAAAAGTTTTAATGAATTTGACAACAAACAAGCGCGCCGCATTTAGAAAAGTTGTTTACTCTCAAAGTAGCGTCTGTACGTCATGAGGGACGTGCCACACGGCTATTTAGTTCTTCGTTTTTCAAGGTTTCGCCGGTGCACCCTCTCCCCGCTCCCTTCGCAAAAGAATTTTTTTCCTTCCGGGCAGTCGATGCGGTTCTTTGGAAGAAAAAAGGCTCGAGGTATACCTAAGCACTTCTTATGAGTTCTAATGCGAAAGCATGCACACTATTCTTCCTCTTCCTTCTTTCGTCTGCGGCGTACTTGCATTAACAATCGAGCGTGCGCGCTGTTCTCGGCGCGCTGACCTTGGGCGTGGAGCGGTGGAGCCCCTGCGTCAAGGGCACGCAGTGCCATGGGGTGGCGGTCGTTGAAACTGACGCGCAGCGGCCAATGGAAACCTCGTCAACGTGCGCCAGCCATTGGTATCGAAGTTGAAATCCATAAGCTTTACTCCGCTTCTTTCGGATCAAGGAAACCAGGTGCCGTTTGGCTAGGCTTTTCGCATGGTTTCATAGCTGGGAGCTGGCTTCACTTGGAGAAAGGATTTAAGGTGCTGTTTGGCGCGGCTTCAAAGCTGATGACGTCTGCTCGCTCTGTGGGACAGTTAATGCTTTTGCATTAAAAAAGCCAGCTTGCAGAGCAAAACGGCACTCTCGGCAGTTCCATCTGTTGGACAACGCTGCAATTGTTGTTCGATATAACCACATTTTTCGCTATGTATTTCCATTGCACTACTAGTCTGTTCAGAAATAGTATGATTCAAGGGATGGTTTGAATTAATTCGGTTCGATATAATCGGGTTTGACTGTATATATGTGTGAGTGTTTAGGGAAGGGCCATTTTTTCAATTTTATTGACCTCTGGAGGTAAAAGGAGGTTGCTGCTATAGTCGTCTAATATTCTTGTACAGGGAAATTCGCTGGGCATTAAAGGGAGGACTTCAGACCACTTTTACATGCAGTCACTTTGGGCTCGGGAACTTTAAGGCTCTTTTTTTGCTTTATTAAGAATAATATTTTTATATAGGAGAAGTTAGGATACTATGGATGTGCAGACCTCACTTGCCTCAATGATTTCCCCAACAGGCAAGCTAGTCTGCATTCCACATCGTGAACACCTCTGCGAATGTCCTCCAAGCAAGCACTGCTTGAGGTGAGTGCGTGAAAGCTGGAAAGAGTTGTTCAGTTACCGAGCCGTTATCTCGGCGCCTCTCGGCACTCCATATGAAACCCCCTAATCTGAAGGCACCTGGCTCTTTCTTCCGCTCTCTCTGCAGGTATCGTTACACTCTGGACGAACTTCCAGTCATGCTACATCGTCTAAAAGTTAGAGCCGAGTCTTTTGACAACTGGGCCATCAAGGTGAAGGCAGCGTTGGAAGCCACAGAGGACGACAAGCTGGGTGCGTGGCGATTGCAGAGTTGGGCAGAGTCTTTTATGCCCAATTAAATATTGGAGGACGAGGGATACACAAAAACAGTGATGCAGGTTTTTTTGTTTTGTTTTTTTTTCTTCGTGAACTTGGCAAAACATGCTCAGCACGTCATAAATGGAAGTTGCAATTCTCAGTAGTGACGACAAATGCTAATGCAATGTCGCTGAACATGTTTTCTAATTTTTGGAGTAAAAATAAACTAAACATAAATTTCGGCCTTAGCAAAGCGTGCGTGGGACTAATTTGCTCTCTCCCATGCACGCCTCGTCGATTTGTCAATCTACCTCACGTTCCAAAAAGTAATTACAATCTTTCTTTTTTTCAATATTTTTGTTTGTTTTGCAGAAGCCTTAGTGAGTTGTCCTGTGGGGACACTGTGTTGCATAAAGAGACTGTCAAAATAGCTCTCCCCCTTTTTTCGCTTATCAGCATGTGACCAAAGAAGGGGAAAATCCCTGTTCTTATGCCCATATGCAATAAATTATCTATAAGTCGGGCTTTTAGGGGGGGACAGTAAGCATCAAGGAGTGAGAGGCCTTGTCGTAAACATCACGGTTTTATGAAGACACAAGCGGGTGTCTCCGAGAGCTGGGTGGAAGAAGAGCACGAGGAACAGGGGGACGTCCTTGTTGTGGAACGTGAGAGTGAGCCGCTGCCTGGTCTGCTGTTCCTCCAGAACTAGGCGAGCTGAAGGAGCTGGTGGAGGAAGCGGAGGAGAAGAAGTTTCCTCCGACGGAGCTGCTCCAGTCGCTCAAGGTGGCGGTCCAGGAGTCGGAGAAGACCTCCAGCATCGCCCAGCAGCTGCTGAGCAAGAAAGTGCGCACCAGGTGGGCGGGGCTCGACTGCTCGCAGGGCCAAAGACTCGGTCTGTGGGCTGGCTCCGTTTTAAACGTTTAGCTTATGCGTAGAAGGAGCTAGACAGAGAGAATAGATGTTGTTTAAAAGATAGTCCTTTCGCAAAGCACCATTGGAAATTATTCTACCTAGCTTGTGCTTTTGATTGTAGGATGGAGAGGTTGAAAACAGTCATACCCCAGACTTTATTAGTACTACATAAAGTGACCCTCTTTACTACTAAAGTTTTTAAAAAGCATTCAGAGATGCCGACTGTTACCTTCATTCTTTAATGCGTGTGCTCTCACTGGTTTCTTTGACAATGTTGGAGCATTGCGGGAGCTGCGCTAACCTCGACAACATAGCATAAAGTAGTTGACTGCGAGTATAGTGCTCAGGGTGTTCCGCCCCGTGTCTGTGCATACATGTTTTCTCAATGCGGTGTTGGCCTCTCGGGGTTTTGTGGGGCAGGAACAGGCAGTCGCAGGACACGAAGCATGTGTCGCGCCTCACTCTGGACGAGCTGCAGGTCTTCTACGAGCAGCTGTGCAAGCTGCCCTGCGTCATCCGCGAGTCTGTCCTCATCAAGGTGAGTTCTCGTCAGCAGCGGGCTTGTGTAACCCATTTTTCCTTGCGATTGTTTTATATCTGAAAGGGGACCAGTACTTTGCAGCAGATGATTGATTGCTGCAAAGCACCAATTGTTGAGAACAGCAATACTAGCTTTGGCGTGTAACGCATTATTTTTGAGGCTACCGTAATATCCAGAGAGCTAGCCCAGCTAAAATTTATAGCAAATCGGATGAAAATAAGGGCTAAGCTGAATTTCGGTGCGCCATAAAATAAAGTTGAAGAAAAGCTAGTTTTAGATTTTGTGACCCTGGAAACTTGCGATTGCAGGAAGGGTCAATGAACCAAAGGTGACTATCCTTCCTAATCAGTAATGTTTGCTCCCACCGTGGTTAAATGACACCGTTTTTGCCAAGGTCACCATTGGCCAAGGCCCTGCTACGACTAAAAGTGTACCATCTTTCAATGTTTCTGAAAAAATAGCAAATTGTGTAAAAGAATAGGGGTCGTCTTATCTGCTGTTCACGGCATGTCCTGCCTTGCACAGTCTGCAATTTAGTACAAGTTTCGCTTCCCTTCAATCCATGGGAAGAAAGAAAAAAAATTTTGAGTAGCGTTTTCTTTTTGTGGGAGGGGGGGAGCAAATTGTTTGTGCAGAGCAAAATTAGTTCACGAATTTAGATGGATCGAGTAGTAAGCACGAAACACGAACCAGATTTGAAAGCATGGACTTGCCTAGTGGAGACGGGAGTCCTTTTGTAAACACTCCCCAAGTGCCACCCTTTTGCAGCTTTCCTCTTCAGCGAGACGATTTCGGGATGCACTTTGGGAAAGGTTATTGCCTCGGCATAATCACTGGAGAGATGAGAATGGAAGTCTTTCGATCGTCCCGCCTCCAGAGCGAGAGTTTTAGTTCCGACGACACTTCGGTGCCTCGTGCACAGCCAAGGTGCGGCAAAACCATAGCCCGTCGGTGATCATAGTACGGGAGTCCAGCCATGTTGTTGTATGGTTCGAACTACCTCGAGTCGCTCGCACTGACCCACCCCTCTTGCGCTCCGACCTTCTGACCCTCCGCCAGGACCTGGTGGACCGCGTGCTGGACTTCCAGACGAGCGCCCAGGAGCTGCTCGGGGAGGAGATGGGGGAGTCTCGGCAGCTGGAGAAGCTGCTGGAGGCCGGCGTGGCTCTCGACATGGACCTGGTGGAGGTGCCCCAGCTCAAGCACAAGCTGAACCAAGCACGCTGGCTCGAGGAGGTCAAGGCCACCCTCCAGGTCGGTCCCGCAGCCCGGTTTCCGTCTCCGCAACCCTGGCTCCCGCCTCTCCAGATTTCTTGTCCGTTCGACGCGGTGCCTCATCAATGCAGACGCCCCGCCATTTAGACAAAATTTTCGGGGCACCGAACTCTAGTGCCATCTATCGAGGAACCCTGGAACGCTTCTGACCCGCAGATATTGTTTTAATTTCCTTGCGCGTAATTCTTTCACCTTGGGCTCGAAATAATTATGACAGTATCATAAGCGACTATTTCTCCCAAATGATGCGTAGATTGGACGTCGAAAGTACCGCAGAGCCTTCGCTCTAGCTAAACAGCTTGGAAACGTTCGGGGTCTGCTCGATAGATGGCACCAGCAGTTACGAGAGATTGCAGTGCTCATCGGCACAGTCTAATGCAAATGCGCGAATCGGCCTTAACTGCTTTCCTTTGGCTCGGGCAATCCTGTACCCCTCAGTAATATGCGTCGTGTCTCCATTTGAATCCGTGTAATAGACGGTTTGCAAGCCTTGTATTTGCCTCATTTTCAAAAGTTCATAGAGGCACGGTGATCAGTTTTGCCTGCCAAAAGTTTGAGAATCTTCATCCTAACTGAGAACAGTCCAGTCCACCTTCTCAAGTTTTCAAACCGTGCATGTCGACGTGCTCCGAATGGCACAGAAACGGGGCAGTAGAATGCAGCAGCGGGGATAATAAATTAATAATAATTGTAATAGTAATAATAATATTTAATGTACATTCACATACATGGTGCAAAACAGGCCCGTCCAAGCCAAATGATGCTCGCTTCATGTATATGAATGTACGTTGAATAATATTTCATATTGTCGGACGAAAGCGGAAAAAGGTCCAAGATTGCTCGTTTTCCTAGGATCCGACGGAGGTGACCCTGGACACGCTGCGCAAGCTGCTGGACGCGGGCGTCGGGCTGGCCCCACACCCGGTGGCTGAGCGGGCCATGGCCGAGCTGCAGGAGCTGCTCACGTCCGGGGAGCGCTGGGAGGAGAAGGCCAAGACCTGCCTGCAGGCCAAGTGCGTTCGTCTTCGCCAGGCAGACTTGCGCTGCGGTCTCGCGCTCTTAACCCTTTGACGGTCGAGATTTTAACGCAAAACATGTTTTATGTGACGTTTTCTGTGAGGAAATGGTCACAAACAAGCGTCAGACGAGCTTCACAAATGAGCGGCACACTGAATGTTATGTACGTTAAAAAAAACACTGAAATGAAAATAAGTTTTTTTAGAGGGTTCTAATGGGTCCGTGAGCGGGTTCTGAGGCGGCGGTGTTTCCTCGTGCAGGCCCAGACATTCTCTGCCCGCCCTGGAGGCCCTGATTGCGGAGGCCAGCGAGATCCCCGTGTTCCTGCCCAACCTGGCTGCACTCAAGGAGGCCACGCGCAAGGCCAGCGAGTGGTCCGCCAAGGCCGAGGCCGTGCAGGTGGGAGACGGAAGCTAGTCTGGGAAGGGGCTCGCTTAGGTACAGTGTCCGAAACGCACCCGTATGTTGAAAGTACGTACAAACGTACGAAGTCGCAGAAGCCGGAGTGTCACGCCTTTGGATGTCGCGACCGAGGCGATTGGCGCCAGAGGGTCCCGGTGAATAAAAAGTGCAAACGCGAGTTTCGCCGTTGTCGCAGCTTTCCTGGACTGCCACGTCCACCTATGGTGCCGTGGCACTGCCAGAATCGCGGCTGGTGAAGGTGCGACACTTTTACGATGTCGTCGGGCGGAAGTCGAGGGACGACTTTTTCGGTTGTGGCAACCACACCGGTCGGAGATGCGTTCCTGGCACCGTCGTTGGGGGGATCTTCGGAGGTCCTTCTGGTTAGCGCTTGAGTCGGCGATGCACGCCACCCACCGCTCACTGGTCAGGAAACTTTGGCGATTTTGGCCTTAGTGAGTTTTGCCGGCAGAAGCTGCGCTGGGTGAAAGTAAAAGTAAACAAAAAATAAGAAAAAATTTATAATAAAAAAAAGTTTGTACCTTTTTGGTGCAAATTTGGCACCCATTATGGGGCGTTTTATTTATATCGGAATAATACGGTCCTTCATGTCTGTGGACGGTGTTTCCAATCGTTCGTCTTTTCTACGTGATCGGGGGGTTTTACGAAAGAGTAGACGCGACCAGCGAGTTTCTCCGCGGTGGCTTCTCCAAACCCATGTTTATCCGTCGGGTTCTCCGAGCGAATTAATTGGTTGACTCCCCCTGTCTTCGGTGCCCCTCCCCGGTGCTTCAGTCGGCCCCTAGGCCACCGGTTCAGGAACGGCGATGCTGGTGAGGACAGTGTCCAGTGAATAACCTGAGAAAGGAACCTGCCTTATAATACATAGGTCTTTTTTTTACGTTGTGGTTGCGTGTTGAGGCACCGTTTCTTTACGGCTGGTTCCTTTTGCACCGGTAGCAGTGGGCCTGCAGGAAGCGGGCCGTGGTCCAAGCTTTATTGGAAGAACTGCGACCAGCCACGGGTTGGTTGAAAGACCTCTGGAGGCCAGGGTTTCGAGACCTCTGCCCTAAAGCATGAGTTCCCAAACTAGGTTCCTAGGACCTCAAGGGTTCCCCAGAGTACCCTAACGAGTTCCCCAAACGTTTAAATTTCTTCAACTATTCCTTTCCTAAGTGAGGCGTTTTTACAGTTAAGGTACCATTTCTGCCTGTCTGAGCTCTTCATTGATGCATAACATTGAGCCAAACATTTCTTATTTCTTAGTACCGTATTTACTCGCACAATGAACGCACTCGCATAATAAACGCACCCCCCAATTCGGCTCTCAAAATTTCGACTTTTTTTCACTCGCGTAATAAACGCACCCACAACTCGGACTTCAAAATTTTGACCTCTCCCCCCCACGCGCTCGAAATGAACACACTTTTCTATCCTGGGGCAGCGAGGTCGGGAATGCATGAGCAGCGTGGGCGAACAAAATGCCTTGCAAAGGGCGTTAAAAAATTTGCAAAGATCCAACGGAAGCAAGAAAAAAAACAAAAGGAGCTTCTTTTTCTTTTTTTTTTTTGCACAGCGCAGGTACTGCGCTGTGCTGAGAAAGAGAAGCGCTCCAAGCAAACAGCTTGGGAAAAACGACAAACAGAAAAAAAAAGAAACCAGGAATTATTAGAAAATAAAAACAAAGAGGAGCTTCAGGAGCGGAGAAGCCCTCTAAGCAAACGAAACAGCTTGCGAAAGGCGGCAAAAAGAAAAAAAAGAACAACACAGTTAGGTTACGGGGGTCGTGGGGTCGTGCGTCGCGCGTGGGGTCGTGCGTCGCGCGCAAGGAGATAAAGATAAGGGGAGAGCCCTCGCCTAAGCAATGCCTAAGCAAACAAAACAGCTTGCAGAAGGCGGCAAGAAAAAAACAAACAAAAAAACCCAAGAAACCAAGAGAAAAAGAAAACAGGAGTTTTTTTGTTTTTTTTTGCACAGCTTAGTTAGGTTACCGGGTCCGGCGCCGCGCGCATAAGAAGTTACTTCGATTTTTCAGGGTAAAATGTCGGTTCATTATGCTCATTATGCGAGTAAATACGGACGCAAAAATTTTACTTTGCGTAATGAACGCCCCCCCCCCCCCCCCCCCCCCAACTTTGCATCGATTTTTCGGAAAAAAAAGTGCGTTCATTCTGTGAGTAAATACGGTATGTGCATTGTTGTTGACATGGTCTGTGAGCTTCTGCATTGCTTTATTGGACCAATGGCAAGACCAGAAGGGGTTCCTCGGCCGCCATTTGAGGCATTTAAAGGTTCCTCGAGGTTGTCCTATGCCCTAGGGCAGAGGTCTCAAACAAGCGGCCCGCAGACATCCTGCGGCTGCGAGTCCCCTTTCTTATGCAAGCCTTGAGCGCAACAAAGGCCATAAATAGTAGCTTTATATCGTCCATCCATTTCCGCTCGAAAAGGAGCTCTTTTCTTTTGAACTCGGTATTCCTTCGTCTAAATACCTGCTTCTCAGCCCTTTCTTATGTAGATCAACCGGACCGGCAATGCAACCTGCTACAATTGCATATATTTGCTCAAGGAGGCACCCCAATCGGCTACACAAACTCTCACTCAGCGGCAGCAACTGCTGAAGATGAAGCTAAGAACTCAAGCTTCTAGCTGTCACACAGTACCTTTACAGTTCAAGCATTTTCGTATAATACCGCTAGAAAAGTCGCCAGGATTGGAGAAACGGCCGTATGAAGATATATTTTTTTATGCCTGTTGAGCCTACGCCACATGGCAAGGAGGGTGAATATGCTATTGTTCTATTGAAGACTCCCCAGCGCGTTGGTATTTTAAATCTTATAACATCAGAGTGCGGTGCAAAATGGTGAGCTCACAAAAAGCACAAGGTTCCTTCTGTAGGAATTCATAGGTCGTTGGGAGGGTCGGCGTGATTTGCAACATGACCTCAAATGCTGCTTATTGGTCTATTTTTGTTGTCCCAATAATTGCCCCCCCCCTCCCCCCCCCCCCTTTTTGGCCCTCGACCTTTCTAGGGTGGCCTATCTGGCCCCCACACTCGAATGAGTTTGAGACCGCTGCCCTAGGGAAAGCTTTCCCATATTGTGACAAAGAGATTCCGGGTCAACCGACGACCGCGACGCCGCCCTAAACGAGAGGGTGAAGAGGTGGTGTGGTGCGTGCAGGGTTCCGAGAACTACCCGTACCTGGAGGCCCTGGAGAACCTGGTGAACAAGGGCCGGCCAATCCCGGTGCGGCTGGACCAGCTGCCCCAGGTGGAGTCACAGGTGGCCGCCGCCAAGTCCTGGAAGGAGCGCACCGGGCGCACCTTCCTCAAGAAGAACTCTGCCTACTCTCTGCTCGAGGTGACTCTCGCACTCCCTCCCTTGCTCCCGAGAGTAGTGCAGTGCCCACTACTAAAAATAAGTAACAAAATAGCGTTGCACGTTGGTTCGTAAAAAAATTAATGCTTAACCGAGATTTGTTACCGTCCTGCAAATGGAAGTAACGAACGCTACTTCTGCAATACTTGAGATTTCAGTATATTTAGCAGCAATGAGCAGCAGTCATGAACTTTGTCGGCAATATGTCATTTAAACAGCGATATGGCAATATTTTTATCCTTCTTTTATCAGATTCGTAAAATGTAGCGTGGTCGTGGTGGTCTGTTCATTAAAAGGGACTAAAAACGGGACTAGTTTTAGTAAAAACTAATGAGTAACGTAGTTTGGTAGACAATAGCGTAAAGTAGTAACAAAATTACTTGTTAGTCGTTTTGGATTCTAATGTGTACATTAGTATGTTATTGAAAACAGTAATGCGTCGCTACTAACGTCGTTGCTTGTAACATATTTCTTTCAACACTGCCGAGAGGCAGACGGAGAGCCTGCCCTTGTCGGCCCACGTGAGAGCGCATTAACCTTGGTCAAGATTTCGGGTGGTCGCCTCATTAGATGCGTAGGCTGGTGACGTTACATCAAGTTGTTGAGTTAAGGGCCACGTTTGACTGGAGGCAGTGCAGGCTACGTCGATGGTGCAGACGTCCAGAGAAACAAACGGAGTCCCTAATAATTTGCGATGCACCATGTAGGCATGGTGAATAGCTCGTTGCTATGAAGCTGGGGCAGTTTTTATTTTTAGAAGCTTCATTGATGAGAATAATTTGGATTATTTTCCAAAGTACTATTTCCTTCTGACGAGGCTCTGCAATACTAGCCAATAGCCACGTCGAAATGACAACACTTCGGTATTATGGCAGAAGGAACTGATATTTCTAGGCTGTTTGCTACTTGGTCGTTATAACACCCACTCATATTACATTGCTTTAAAGTTCAAAGAGATTCTCGTTATGCCTACTTATATTTTTCTTTTATGAACACAACCTGCAAAAACCCAGCTGTGTATAAAAATAATAAATATTTGCAACCGAAAATTAATGGCTTCTTTTGTCTCAAGTTAACCACCTATTGAGAAATACCTAGCTGTTCAGGACTGCCCTACTGGAAATATTGTTTCAAAGGCTCTCAGACTCTGTGACAGTGTTATTGGCTGTGCTAGATTGTGATGACATCACTGGCCCGGTTTGATGCTCCCTCACGTTGGCACTCGTCTTGCTATTCACGGTCGCAGGTGCTCTCGCCTCGCAAGGACATTGGCATCTACCAGGTGACGGCGCGCGGCAAGAAGAAGCGCCTGCGGGACGGCCTCGCGTTGTCCGAAAGAGACAAGGAGGACTCTCCAGAGGTGAAGACCGAAGACACTAAAGACGCCGCGACCATTGTGAGTGGCCTCTTTTGTCCAAGCTGTCCTCGAGCGCTGTGCCCTCGTGTGTGGGCTTGCACTACTAGGGGAGTGTGAGGTTCTGAAAGGGCTTCTACTAAGACAGTGCCCAGAAATCACCCTTGGAATGCAGAGAGAGATATGCACTGGACTATACATTGAACTCTGTGACGTGCTCAGTTCATTATACTGTGTAGTTAGGAGTGCGTAAAGCTGAGGTCATGGTCTTTCAGAAATGCATCCCCTTGCCTGGCTCTCTTGGAGGAAAAAAAAAGATGCTGGCATAATGAATTCTAAAAAGTAGCGAAAGAAGCCAGCTTAGTAAACTACTGTTGCACTCTTTGTAGAAGGCCCAGTTGTCTGTACATGGCTCAGTGTTAATGACTTGTCATGTGATGCAATTGGATGCAAAGCTCTTATATTCTTATGTGGGCGACGGTTTGTTATTCTTATGTTAAGAAACAAATACTGTAATATCCTGAAAGAGCCCATTTAAAAGCGAGAGCAAACCGGGTAAAAATGAGGAATGGGCTAACTTTCGGCGTGCAGTTGAGAAATATTGAACAAATGCTATTTTTGTATTTTGTGATTTGCCAAACTTGGTTTTCACATTAAGGGGCAGTATAGCATAGGCAATTGTCCTTCCCAGTCAGCAATGTTTGCTCATCTTTCACCGTAGCTAACTAACCCCATTTTGGCCGTAGTCACCGTTGGCCATGGCAGTGCATTTACTAAAAGTAAGCTATCTTTCGGTGTTTTTAAAAAAAATATCAAATCATGTCAAAAATTGGAGTGGGTTATCTTACGGGTTTTTTTTCGGAATATTATGATATATTACTTTCTTCAGCTAAGCTTGTGAAGTTTGTAGCACCGGAGCTAATGGTCACTGCTTTAGCGAGCTAGTAAATAGGCCAAACTGACACTGGTGACGATATCCTTTTAAATGGACGAAACGAAACCGCTCAGCGCACTTGTAAACCTCGAGTAAGACAGACAGACTTGTGAAATTGAAGATGTTGAGTGCTATAGTTTGTATGAATGCCCTTTTTTTAAATTATTATAATTACCTTCCAGAGATAGTGTAGTGAAACTGTTGTACAGCACAAAAACTCCACTTGCATTGTTTGTGCTTGCCAAGTGAGGAATGTAGGGGTAAAAGCATGTGGTGTGGCCCCTTGTCAGGTGGCGGCCTTCAAGGAATCTGGTGCCCATGAGATGGAGAGCATGCGCCAGCTGAGAGCCCACAACATCCAGAAGCGCCTGGAGGACACCGGCTCGGCACGCTACTGCTCCTGCCACCGCTTCTTTGGCGGCCACATGCTGCAGTGCGAGCTCTGCAAGGACTGGTTCCACGGTGCGTGCTCTTCCCCCCTTCCCTCCCTCCCTCCCTCTCTCTTTGTCTGTCGGTCTGTATCTGCATGTGTGCACATATGTGTGGCTTTGGTTGGGTTCCCTTAGCTTTCCACACGTTGGTGTGTACAGATGTAGTGCTCGGCATGTACGTATTGCAGAAATGTTGTGCTACAATGCTGGTTTGTCCTACACATTTTTTTCGGAATCGGCTATATTGGGCTTGTACTGGGCAAGTGTCGTGTTGCCGAAAACTAACGGAGCGTGCGGGTGTTTATTGCGGGTGGCCCTGGCGCCGGGAAAGGGCGAGTACAGCAGTGATACCCTGGCCCTTTTGTTGATAATAGTTGTGGTTAAAGTGCACAGCAATTGGCCAATAACAATTGCGCTGGGGGTCACACGATCGAGCTCCTTGCCACCCCTTCTCTCTTGCCTTCGGTTGCCCATTCCCTCGGCGGTGTAAGCCTCTGCGTGGAAGAATGGAGTGGGTGAGGCATACGCCGGAGCAAGCAGCGGATGCTCAACGGCATAAATACACCCATGAGAGAGGACGTCGTCCCCATCTTGGTGCGGACGGTCTCGCCCTGGGTGGTAGGATGGAATGCATTTGACAAGAAGTTCATGCCGTGTGTGAACGTAAAGTGGCACATGGAAAAGAATGTTTACCCAACGAAGAATGGACACGCTGGTGCGACCATGGAATTTCTGCAGCATGTCTGTGAGGTTGTGTTTAGTGCTTGCTACTCTGTGTGTGATCGGTTGTGGTTTACATGAGGCGCCGTGCAACAGAACATTACCGTAATTTTCGGTCAGTCACGACGCAATATCATTGAAATGTCGTTTTGGCTGACGCTGTTCATTCACATCACGTTGCGTTATTGTTTGTGCAATTTTTAAGAAAAATAATTATTGTAAATTGTTAAGCGTACACCCATGTCACAACGAGTCCCCCATCTGCCACCTCCCTCCTCCGCCTCTCTTTTTTGAGACGTTTCAGATATCATTGAAGGACAGTTTAAGCAAGTTCGAAAATATGAGAAAAATCAAACCAAGCATGGTAGCATGCGCACGCGAATAATGGGAAATGTGGAAGCGATCAAAAGTGTAACCACATGGTGCAAATGGCTACCAAAACCTGAGTTGAGGAATTACAAAACCCTCGGAGATGTTTTGTCCATAGTATATATTGTGAGGGCGCTCCTAGAGAATGTCCATTTCATCATGATCATCATCCTGAGTGCCTTCACAATATTGATGTCAACAAACATGTTGTGGTCTGTTTTCAGACAGTGAAATTGTGAAGATGCTTAGGCCTAGGAACGGTCGCGTCTCCTTGTGCCGAGTGCCGCTGATGCGAAAACTTTGTTGAGCGTCGTAGGGCAGCTTGGCAAAAATAACGCCGATGTTTGGTTTTTATGCGTTGGGGCGTGCTCGACCAGCTCGGCAGACGACTATCATTCCGAGTTCAGCGGTCGGAAAAGCAAACCCGACAGTGTGCTCGTTCTGCATTTCCGATTTGCGACCTAGCAGGCGCCCATTGCCCAGTTTCCCACGGTTGTCTTCATTAAGGCGAAAGCCTTGTATATCTCATCATTCAGTCCTTGAGCGAAAACACGTCGGTGACACGAAAGGTGCCAAAACATTTACGTGACATCTGCAATTTCAATATTCCTCCAAAAAGACTTTTCACTCTTGCCCCTCGGCTAGCATTGAACCAGCGATTTTCCGTTCAGTAGCCTGACGCGGTACCCCTCCGCCACGGGCAGAGAGGTACCGCCACATCCGTAAATCATGCGTCTGTGTTGCATTTGCGCTTGAGCTTTTGCCTTCAAGTCGTCTTGGGGATAACATAAGAGACCTTGTGTTTTTTTTTATTTTATGGTATTATGACAGGAATGAGCGGCAGTGCCATTATTTATGAGTAGTTGTCCCAAATATAAACGCCGAGCTGCTTTCCACATGTAATGCTAGTGCTCTCATATTCAAAATTTAGAAGATGAACAATATTGCTAACGTTTGTTTTATTTTTGTGTCATGAATTGCTTGCATGGTATAGGAATATTTGCACATTCCTATTTGCACTTTCCTCATGAACGTTAGTACCTAAGAAAAGTTTTGCCCCGCTTGACCGAGGTGAACTTTCCGTACCTAAAACATTACTCTTAATAGACTCTTTTCAAAAGTACAAACCCCCTAGTCGCTACAGTACAAATAATATAGAACAGTGCAAATAAACATGGATAAGGAGGACACAGTGCTGTGTCTGTGTCCTTCTAGTTGTCCGTCCTTGTGCTGATTAATGTGAAAGCATTAACTGTCCCGTGGAGCGAACTGACATCATCAGGTTGGAAACCATGGCAACCGTTGGCCAAACGGCACCTAAAATCCCCTTTTCCTATGGAGCAAAGTGAAGCTGATTTTTGATGGATTATGCTCCCATTGGCTGGCACGCGTCATCAGGGAACGAGACTCCCATTGGCTCTTGGGCGACGTAGTTCAAAAAAAAAAAGTTGCCAGAAAAGATCTCTCCATGGCGGCACAGCGCATGCAACGGCCCAGCCACCGGTAAGAGCGGTGTGGGCCCGGCAGCAGAGCTTGCTCGGCCAAACTCCAGGGAGGGTGCACACTTGAGCTCAGTGGGGCGTGGCCACTTCACAAGAGCGCGCGCTCGGTCGTCTGCCGGGGAAACGTGACCGTCTACGCCACTACGCCGCAGACGAACTAAAGGAGCAGAAGAATGACATTCGTGCTTTCGCATTCACAACTCGTAAAAAATGCTTAGGTGTCCTCTGACTTTTTTGCACTATTTTATATTATATGCACGATCTACTAACGTGCCCAACTACAAATGTTGCCGTAGTCGTTACGGCGCCAGTTATCGTAGTCCGCCATTGTTTGGGCACGCAGGAAATCTGTCGAACGAGAGGGCCGTGTCAGAGTTTGACGGGAACCCTGCTCTTATTGAGTTAGAGAACGAATTCTGCGTCGCTGTTCGACAAGGACTTAGATCCAGTTGCAGGCTTTGTGCCCAAGAAATGGCAACTGCCTATGTCGCCCAAAGAAGTTTTGAAAAAGATCTGTTTCTCTGCGTCCCGAGCCAGTCCGGTCTCAAATCGGCGGCCAAAGACCTCCTGACAATCGGCGGGCAACATACGGCACGAGTGCCGTTCATACTCCCACCGCGGCGCATCTAACACTGAGCATTCCTTCCTCCCGGCACCGCAGCCAGCTGTGTGCCGACCCCAAAGTCCCGCGGCGCTCCCAAGCCCGGCCCCGCGGTTGGGGTCGGCCCGGCGTCGGCTTCCTCCCCCAGCCCGGCGGTCGCCGGGGCCACTGCGGCCGGCCTGGGCACGTCGTCCCTGGGCCAGCGCGAGAGCAAGTTCCTGTGCCCGGCCTGCCTGCGTTCCCGGCGTCCCCGTCTGGAGACGATCCTGTCGCTGCTCGTCTCCCTCCAGAAGCTACCCGTGCGGCTGCCCGAGGGGGAGGCCCTCCAGTGCCTCACCGAGAGGGCCATGTCCTGGCAGGTGGGGAGACGTCCTTCCGTACAGCTCCTTGCGGGAACCTCTTTGGGGAATTGCGTTGCCGTCCCTAGCCATAAACGTGTCCTGGAAACCAGGCGTTGGAAAGAGACACCGTTCTTGCTGTGACGGTGGGCTTGTTCGATTTACCTGCACCAGCTGCGCTCCCTGCACAGTGCCGTTTTCGATTTACGAGTGCAGCCTATTAGCCCCGAGAGCGAACACAAGCGTCGCTGCGGTCGCCGCGCCCTGATTGGGTGAGGTGTACCGTGACGTCAGGGCGAGTACCCCGCTCCGCGATCTCGCATCGGGTCGCTTCCCAGCACCGGTTTCCTGGTTTGGCGTTGTGTGCCGCAAGCTCTTCGAGGAGCCGGACTTCGTTTACCCGGTGTACAAGACGTTGAGTTAGGCCGATATTAACGTGCTTCCGTACATTTTATAAGCCTGCTTGTCCCTTTTACCTTTAAAATTGGGTTACAAATCCCGAAAACTATCGGCGGAGGCAATTACGCCGATGAACCTCCCCGTCCGTCCACACGACGCAAGGCAATCTTGAGAGGGGTCAGTGAAGCGGTGACGCAAGTGTTTTAGACGCTGGAATTCTGTTCCTTGCATGTTCATGATTTAGGACGATATTACATCCCGCCTTCAAGGCATCTGAAGGCCTTTATATTATGGGCCTTTCGGTGGTCGGCAAATTAGCTCGCGACCCCGACTCTGCGCTGCCACTCTGCATGCGCTGGTTTGCAGATGTTTTAAAGGCCCTGCGTCTGATGATCTTTGAAGTACTCATGGAACAGGGTTGTTTTACATAAATGTAGCTTCTTCCTGAATTAAATATATAGTTTATACGCGTATGCAGGCATATTTCTTAGAGGATTCACAATTACTGGAAATTAGTTTGTATGGTAGCAGCAAAAACGGCCGAATTTCTCCCAGTTGCCTCTATGATATGTAGTAAACTGCCCAAAATATGCACAGCAATAGTGCCGTAATTTGGAATATTTATACTTTTTCCTGACATTCTTTATTCCAGCCTTTGGTATTCGGAAAATACACCGTTTAGTCTGAATTGTCATTTCCATATAAGAGTCACTGCCGCAGATCCCCAAAAGCTTTCTCAGCCTCCAAACTCCCTGCAACTGGACTCTCTGACAAGAGGAAAACAGGAGTAAAAGCAAGCATTCAAACGTCTGTCCAGTGAAAGATGCAGCACTGGTAGCAGAAAATGTGGAACCTGTGAAGGGCGACAGTCTGCGTGAGAAAAGCTTCTGTACTTTAGCTTCAGGACAATTCGATTTAAGTAAAATCTCAATTTTAGGGCTTAATGGACTAATAACGAGCTAGACACCTTAACTTACGTTTGTTATATATTACTTGAGGATTGATATAAACAATTCCACAGATACCACCCGTGTAGTCCATTGAAATACTATCCGAATCCAGCAAAGGTCAAGTGCGAGCAATGTATAGAATAAATGTTCCTTGTTTGTTTTTTTACTTTGCCCCTGCACTTGGGCTGTCTTACTTGTGATTCTCTCCCCATGGCCGAGACTGTATTTGGCACGTTGCTCGAGCAGCATGCAGCTTTTCTGCTTCGGCGATCTTGTTCAAAGACAGAGATACAAAAAAAAAATAGTATACATAACCTGCCAATCCATTCGGACCATCAGCAGCGTTTATTGTGCGAGATGTGAATCTGTAGTGATGCCCCTGCAATTGTGGCCATATTTCTTTATTTTCACATACCAGCTGTGGTTCATGCGTTGCCTGGCCTGTCAGCCATGCTTAAAATGTTCGTTGAAGTTTCGCCTGTAGCTACAGGCCATACCTCAATAAAGGCATATATAAAAATTTACACTTCCTACGAAAAACACGCCGAAAAAAATTAAATAGAAACAAGCGCGCCGACAGCTAGCGTCGTCACAGCCTCCACAGGGCGAGCGGGGCGAGTCGGGGAAAAATTCTCTCCTCGCCGTGACGTCACCCCGGTTCGCCGTAAGGGGGCGCCAGGCGAACTTCTCGGGGCTAATAGGAAAAAAAAAACGTTTGCACATTCGTAGTAGTTTATGAATGAGTTAAGAGCAATTTTAAGAAGGTTTTTGGAGTAATGGGAGAGAACAGTGAAGTAACTGAATTAGTTACTTGTAGTGCTTGAGTGTGGCTGTCCAGACCCACGTGATGAGCATGCTCTAGGACAGACACAAACTTTGACATAGAGAATGATTCCCCCCTACAAAATACAAAAGGAAGAAACTGAGGGAAGCGGACCGCTGCATTTCACATGACGGAGTTGTGTTGCCTCATGATTTCTGAAGCAGCCTGTTTGGACGGGCCTTAACATATACTCTTGCATAACAGCCACAGTTTAATTTTGAAAATTTTACTGCAAAGTAGACATCAACATCATGAAGTTTGTTTCTTTTTTTTATTACACCAGGCACGTGCGTGCATCATCCTGGTTTGCAAGTGTGCTTTTCTTCCAAGCACGCTTCTATACTTCTCCAAGTGTTGATCGCCACAAATTACTCTGTTGAGTGCGCTTCTTACTGAGCACCTGTATACTGTGCCGAAGCAACACCTGCAGATGCCGCTTCTCCGCAGTGTACCAGTGCTCCGCAAGAAGCGCGCTCAACAGGGCTAACCTGCTGTGATCAAATCTTCTAAGAATACGAATATTGCAGTTCATCTCGAGGCAAATATTCGCGCAACACTAGTTACTTAGCAGTGGATTTCATGTTCTTTGCCCTCCATGTAAACTCTCTGAATTTACTTGGACTTGTATGTAGCATCATGTTTTGTTGTTACAAGCAGATGGGATAAGCATGCTCTCTCCCACATGGTTACTCAGGACCGTGCGAGACAAGCTTTGGCTACGGAGGAGCTGGCCGCAGCACTGGCCAAGCTGTCCGTCTTGTCCCAGAAGATGGTGGAGCAGGCAGCTCGAGAGAAGACTGAGAAGATCATCAGTGCCGAACTACTGAGGGCGGCCAGCAAGCCAGAGCTTCAGCCTCACCTGCAGAGTGTCGCTCAGTCTGCATTCAGTGGTCTCAAGGTTCAGGACAAAGGTTTGCCACAGTTTTCACGGGCCGTACTCTAAGCGGGAAGGACTCTCATTTTAGTTTACGGTAAAAACAGGAACTGGAAATCACATAGTCATTATGCTTGAGGTGTATGAGATAACTCGTGAAGTAAAGGTCAACATAGCCAAACAATATTAGCATTGACAGTCATTTTATTATGGCTTTATGGAATAAAACTGGAGAGAAAACACCAAACTTTGAAAATCTGCTGGAATTCCATGGCAAATTCTCTCTGCTCACTCTCTGATCTCCCTCAGCTGTTGGCTTGTGTATGGAGGTATTGAAGAAGGCCCAACAAAATCGACTGTAGTATTTACATTTTAGGTCTTATGCCTGCATTGTCTAGCTTCTGCTCAGGTTTTTAGTTTTTTTAATCTTGAAATTTTGAATGCAGTTGACGAGTCTTCCTGTGGGCCTACAGAGCTGGACAGCAATGCCAGCATACCTGAAGATGTGATTCCCGCTGTGGCGGCCGAACAAGAAGTGTCCTTGGTTTGTTCTGCTTTCGAGTGCTCCTATTTTCACACTTTGGCCCTCTTGCAATGATGCTAGCTCTTGTCACTATGCTGTCGGCAACCGACAGTTACTAAATAAAAGTATGCTTATGTTTGCAGTCTGGCGAGGGAGTCGACGAGAGCAAGCCTGTGCTTGAGGAGGAAAAGGGAAAGCCTCCCTGTGACAGCTACAATAGCATGGAGCATGCCTATTCCACAGCCTCCAAGAACACCACTGGTATGAGCAGATTGCATATTCATATCTTGGAAGCGACTCTAAAGATTACTAGCAACCACTTGCGCAAAGAATTTTTAGGCAATGTTTTCAATACGTGCACTTGAGTTCTGGTTAAATTTGTTGCACGTAACTCCATTTGAAAAAAAAAGTGTACTAGTAGCAAAAAACGAGCATGCACTCTTGCCCAGATCATTTGCATGAAGTCAGATGTGCTGTTTTATTGTGTATATGAAGCACAGCATAGTTTCTAGCTTAATTATGTATCCAGCAGAACACACAACTACGTGCAGTGACCCACGGTTTTCCCGTGCTTCGTTCGCAAGTACTATGCTAAGTTATTCCCCCTGAAATTGAGGCCATTTTACTACCACTAGTTGGGTGTGATTGCTCTTTCCTCCAACCTTGCTATTCTCTCTCTCTATTTTTTTGCACTGGGGCAGAAGAAATATTTCAGCCTTCCCCCTCCCAGTTTAGCTTGAACAAGCATTGTACGAGCATGCGCCTTGGTCCTATTTTTTCCGCTCGTCATTCATTCTTGGCTTGTAAATCTTTTGATAGTGTTACAAACGACAATTTCTCATAGATAGTATGTACATTTAATATCGCAAATAGCGCAAAACCTTTCCTCTAGCAAAACGGAATTCCAGGGTTAGCTGATGGCTTGTGCATGTGTGTTCTCGGGTCACGAATGATCCGAAGAGCTCGGCCCCGAGCGAATGCGAGCACGTGAAGGCCATCCAAATGTGCCCCAATCTGGTCTGTCTGGGTGCAGCGGCGAGCCCGTCCCCGCGCAAGCACGCCCGCAAGTCTCCGCTGGTGCCGCGCAAGGTGGAGTCACCCGTGCTGGAGCTGTCGCACCTGGCCAAGGCCCAGCTGGAGGCCCTGATGATGGAGGGGGACCTGCTCGAGGTGTCCCTGGACGAGACCCAGCACATCTGGCGCATCCTGCAGGCCACCAAGCCCCCCGGCGACCCTTTCTCTCCCTTCGAGGCCTTCCCGGAGTTCGAGGTGGGCCCCACCCCCTTTCTCTCGGTCCTGGTGTAAGAGGTACAATGTTCTGGACATGGCGATTGTTGCGACGCGATCGACGAGATGACTGACACATGCCCCCTATTGCGACGGAGTTGCCGCCAGCCAGACGGTGCACCTTTGCGCATGCATTTTCGGCTCTGTGCGTCCGCTGCGACTTCGACGGATGCTGGCTCGACGTGTTCTTGCCGTCGTTGAGACATGAAACTAAGGTAAATGACGAAGCTGCATCTAAACAACACGCGTGGCACTAGTGCCGAGGTCTACGTGATGCAACGTATCCGGAGAAGGACTTTAACAAGAGGCGTGGGGAAACCGGGCCCGCAACAGGCTACCGCTAGTCATATATAAAAAAAAATTGCGGTGGCTTAGCTCGGCTATGTTAGGATATACGTAGCGTGAGCTTACGCACACAAAATGAGAGGCGCTATCAAGCGGCTCCGGTGCAGCTTCAGACTTGGCTACTGCACAACGGAGGCGCACAGCTGGGCACGTGGCAGCGCCAGTGCATCTGTCGCGGCTATGACGTCACTCCTCTGGAATGCGCAGAATGGCGAGGCGCGCGCGATGGCGGCAGAGCGCGCTGCAGCGGCGGCTCCGGCGCGCCAGCTGTGCACCGTGTGACGTCACTGCCCCTCGCGCTTGCGCAGCACGGCTCTTTCAGTGTAGCTCACGCTACAAAGGTCCGGTGGCGCCGCTCGCAACCGAGGCAAAGAGACGACTTGTCTGGCAACTGCGACAAGCGGCGTCGCAAGGACGGTGACTTTCGCGTCCACCCGCCTTTTATTGGCATCATTGTGACGACCGACTGCCGGCTTGTGGTGCTTGATTTGTTCAATGCTTCTTTTTCTCGCTCCCAGGACTACGCGGAGTTTGCGAAGAAGCCCGAGAAGAGGATCAAGAAGCGCAAGGTCGAGCAGCCGGAGGGAGCCAGGGTGAGACCAGAGCACCGACCTCGTCCGGGGTCGACGTCTTTTCGTCGAATCCACGTACGCCAACATAGAGTTTTTGTTTGGGATTGCGCTAACAACGCTTGTCGATGCGACACTAATTTGCGGGCCTCCGCGCGCTTTTGGGTGCCTTCGACAAAAACGTTTTCCGTGGGTGTTGTTTTGGTAATGTCTGTTGGAAATATGTAGTGTGGCATTTGACCGAGCGTGGCAAATGCACCCCAAAAAAGGCGCAATCTTTTGGACTAGTCCGCTCCTTTGTAGCAACATTTGTACGCAAATACCTCGGTATTGTATAAGTAATGGACGCCCCTTAAAAAGAAGTAAAAATTTGTCGAAAATGTCAGCATTAAAGAGACTGCATAGCTCGTTTCTGCGTAGATTCTCTAACAAAATCATTTTTGTGGCGTTTGTCAGCTTGTGACTATACGGTCAAACAGGGATATTTTACAGCGAAGCTGTTTATGGCTAGGGTTTGGTGGATTTTTCGTGTGCAATGACTAAAAACTATGCTCGCACTGCCGGGCGTGCACCCTTCCCCGTATAAGATGCGAAGTAAAGAACCAAAATAAAGTGTTGACAAACGCACGTGCAAGGTGCCATTTGTATTAGGGTTTTGCTTTAGAACAGTTACTGCTGCACATGCCGGCGCCACACACGCACGCCTTCCTTGCATAAAAGATTCTAAGTAAATAACCAAACCAAAATGAAGCGTTGACGAACGCACGTGTAAGATGCCATTTGTGTTAGGCTTTTGCTCTAGAACATTTACTGCTGCAGACGCCGGCACGTGCGGTGCGTGGAACACCATTCCCTGCGTTCTCCTTGATGCTTGGGTAATTTAGCAATACGTCTGTTCAGTAGATTAGTTATCAATAGGCACCATTTTCAAGATAGTAAACTCTCAGGTAGACAATAAAGGTTTCTCAAAGATTTGCCGCTGTGCTACCCGCGTCGGCCATGTCTATGCTTGCACCGCCCTTTCTCCGTCGTTGCTCCCAAGCGCTTGCGTGTCCAGTTTCCTTTCCTTTCGCTCTCCCGGGGTGGCGGTGCGGTCGCGTTTGTCTCTTGTCTAGACTCCTTCAGCTCTTTGGGGTAGGTCTATGTCGTGTGCTAAACAGCTTTGTTAGTCATCCACCTCCACAGAGTGGAATGGCTCATGATTTTATGAAATAACCTATATCTGGGATTTGGCAAAAAATGCTCACGACATGTAGCGGTCATCCGGCGTGCAGCACGAGCTTACGTAATAGCCCTGCATCTCGACAGTGCAGGGAGAAGTGGCGTTCCACACTCCCCCCTTTCCACCGTTTAGCCGCGACGTTGATGTCGCCAAAGTTGCCCGCAACAAGTCGGAGCGCGCCCATTGTACGTGATGCGGCAGTGCCTAACCCATAGAGTGCAGAGCAGCGTGAAGTTTCCCGGAGAAGGCCCCCTAATGCCAAAATACGCCACCGTTTGTACGAGACTAAGGTTATATTTTCTGCCGAAATTCTAATGGGTCAATTTCTGGTCATTTTTGCGCTAACAATTTTAGATTTTGCAACTTTCTTTTTGGTATATCTGCGGCATTGCTTCTAGTTTGCTCGATAATTGTGGGCTAAGATTACAATTAAAAGTACACCAGCAGGAGTGTGCAACAAGCTTCAGTACGTCACATCCAGTATTTCGTTACTCCCAAGCTTGTTGTGTTTTTCTTTATGTGTGGCTTTTCTTTTCATGACCAGGGAGCGTTCCCTTTTCTAATAGAGCTTTCCGGAAAATAATACAAAGCACCTCATTAACCCCACGATGCATTGCGTGGCACACGGAATTGCGGGGCCGTTTAAGTGTACATCCTGGAGGTGTCTCGATTTTTCCTCTCCTAGCGCTGCAAGTTCAAACCACAAAGAAAATGAATCTAACACATCAGAAAGCCGATACAAACCCTGTTTCATTGTTGTCCCTCTTTCTTTACGTTCTGAAATTGCGAAATGCTAAACAAACATGAGCCTCTCCTTCTATTTACGGCTACCCCTTCACTCGCCGTACGTCGGATCACCATAGAGCGTTATAGACTAATTTCCGGAATGGTCTATTGGCTCTCTACGAGCCACAAAAGCAGGGGGCGCCACAAAACATTCAGAAGTTAATAGTGACAGTACTGACTGGTGGGCTAGTTGGTGCATAGTTCCTTTCAACAATAAGTGCTGCGAGACAGGGACAGAAAGTAATGGGCACAATACAGAGCGCTACTTTCAGCCGACTGTTTATTGAAGCAACATAAACTTGGGAAGTTATCAGCTCACCATTGTCGCTCCCCAACAGCCGCAGCCCCGGCCCAAGCCTAAGCTGCAAAAGAGGGCCTCGAAGGAGGAGGCCGGCAGTCCGTCGCCCGGCGCGGGATCAGCCTCGGGCCCTGAGACGGCGAAGCCCGCGGGCAAGAGGCCGGCCAAGGAGCCGGGCCGGCGGGAGCCCGAGCGCAAAGTGCGGCCCCCGAAGAAGGTGCGCCCCAAGGAGGAGGGAGGCGCCCAGACCGGAGCGGAGAGGGTGGTCAAGCGACGCAGGGTGGCGCCGTCCCACAGCGGCGGCGCCGAGACGCAGGAGCAGGACGACGCAGTCGGGGGCGCCGCGTCCGAGGACCTGTGCTCGGCGCCGGACTGCGTCAAGCCCCAAGGTACGTCCGACACTGCGTCTGCGGGCGTTGTGGTACGGCGCCTGGAACGCGTCTTTGTCTGGTATGTTCGCCGCGTCCGAAAAAGTGGTCCCTCGATCCCAGCAGTGTCGCAACAGCGGTGGTGGATGTGGCAGATGCCTGTCCTGCTGCAGGTCGCGCTCCAGTTTGACGGTCCATGGAAGCTTTGGCAGCCGGGAGTCTGGACACCGTGACGACGGCAACACTCAGAGTCTCTTGAGCTTTTTAGTGTGAAAGCATTAAGGGGAGGCACTCCCTTGGAGGGTCTACTTTTTAAGCATTTGTGCCAGGTCAATGAAATTTTTATGGTATGTTAAACGTCAAAACTTGGGAGGCTACACCAACTTTCAACCGAAAAGGTTTATTTTTTGACAAGTTGCAGCCTTATTCGTTGAAAAAAAATGTACATGTAACAGTGCCAAAGGAAAAAAACTATTGTTTCAAAATATGAATAAAAAGGCACAATTTCTTTGTTGGGATATAACGCTGAATGACTAAACTAATCGGTAGTAGGCTTGAAATAATTTTTAAGGCCATATTTCTCGTAAAAATGAACTTTCAATAATGGTATGAATTTTTAATTTTTTTCTTGTTTCACAAACGTCAACATTTCTGTGTGAAGAAATAACAATTTGCAAAAAGTAAGCCCATAGCCGAGTTCTCCAGTAAATTTTATGCCAAAAAAGCCATACATTAGACTTGGGGGCCAGGGCCGTACCCAGAAAAAAATTTCGGGGGGGGGGGGGGGGGGGGGGGTTTTCGGGAACAACGGCGACCATTTTGAAAGTGTCTATTGTCTTATTTTCGCCTATGAATCATGTGCATTGGTGGCATATAATGGAGAGTTACAGCAAACCGGAGAACCGGTCCCGGTTCGGTACCCGGTAGCCGACCGGCGCCACTGCGCGTGCGCAGAGGTAGAGATTAAAATCGGCTGGCTGCAAGTGCACCGACCAGGGCCGTACCCAGAAAACAATTTCGGGGGGGGGGTCAGAACCCCCTAACCCCCCCCCCTGGTTACGGCCCTGTTGGGGGCGCTTAACTCGTCAAACGATAGTTTTAGAGCTGTGAAAAAATGGTGAAAACATGAAGCTGAGAAAAACGGGGTTGAAAGTTCGAACACTGTCTTAGTTTAGATGGGGCTTGCCATTTCATCTAAAATGCTCCAGGGGCATATGTCACTCCTTCCTCTGCACGGTCCCTCTGTGCCTTGGCCAGAGCTTCCATCTTCCTTTTTTTTGTGGGACATCTTTGAGGACTCAAGCGCTTTCACTTGGGCCTTCGCAACCTTCATCTTGGTGGCCCTCTCTGCGTATGACGCTTGGTAGCTCCCTGGCTGTATGCCCATTTCCAACAGAGCTTCCCGATTCGCTAGGACGAGCCACGTGACGTGGCTCGTCGTAGCGAATCAGAGCTCTTGTTTCGCCAGCTTGACCAATAAGAGCGTGCACAGCTATGTTTTCTACGGGGTTTTACGGTCTGTGAGCACGATATCGCGAACAATGCTGCAAACAGGACGAAAGAGGGCGAGACGCTCATTCCAACAAGGGGGGCCTGTCCAAGCTAGTCCTAAGAAACGCGGAGGGAGCGCGCTTTGAAAATGGCACATTTTCGTAATCGGCCGCGTCGTTGGCGCGCACGTGCGGCCGCCAGCACTTCAAAAATAATTTATTTTGGAGTAAATACTTTACTTACAGGAATAAAATTTTTGGACAGCATTCTTTATAAGTTGTAAAAGCTGGTCAGCCTATTTTCCAAAAATGTGACTTTTTCGAAAAAATCACGATTCCTAGGCCGTGCCTCCCCTTAACTATCCCCTGGAGCGGAGCCGGCGGCATCTTTAACCACAAAAAAACGTGAAAGAAGTGCCCATTCTCCCATTGGCTGAGCAAAACAGCTCCTAGATAGCCAGCCATTGGCGGCCGCTTCACGAGAGCACGCTCTTGGTCGCCGCTCTTGTGGCAGGCATTGCCGGAGGGGGCAGGAGGGGTGGGGAGGGGAGGAGGGGGGGGGGGGCTGCAGCAGCTTCTGCTCCTCTCGGTGCCAGGAACATGGCGGTGCCTGAGGCATCTATATCGTCAGCGGCTGCAACTTCGGCAGTAGCGAAACGTGGCCGTCCATGCCAGTACGCCGCAGACAAACTAAGGCAGAGGAAGAACGACATTTATGCTTTCGCATTTGTCCTCGGAGTTTTCACTGTGCCTCGCGCATTACTGTACTTGGCGACAACTTTTCTTGGCAATGCAGTGGAAGGTACGTCCCCCGTCCCCTCTCCTATTTCTAGTGTATGCAGGCTTTCCTCCTCCCCCATTTCCGGGGAGAGGAGGAGAGCCTGCGTACACTCAGAATGGGAGAGGGGACGGGGGACGTACCTTCCACTGCATTGCCAAGAAAAGTTGTCGCCGAGTATAGTTTTTTTTTTTTTAGAACTTGTACGCTTCATGCCTACACTCTGTCTTTTGTTAGGTCATTTGTTGTCACTTCGGTACCACTTTGGATGTATGGTCGAACGCTAAACACAACAGTCTGAGACGCATTCCAGGCGCCATAGTTCGGGCTTTGGAGGGACTGTGGAACTGTTTTCACTTTCGCTAACCGATGCTCGTGAAAGGCGCCTTGTGAGGCATGGAACGAGAATTGGGCTTTGCAAAAAGGACGTTTACGACGCTCACATTTTTCAAAAAGTGTTGGCATTTATTGCTTTGGTGCACCCAGCCGCCTTTTGTTTGGACGGTTGTGGTTTGTATGAGACCGGTTTCGTGAGGCCGTGGTGCAGGTCCCGTCGTGCTCTTCCGCTCCGTTCGATCGCCCGTTACGTCCACTTGCCCTCTTACTAGACGAAAAGAGTTCTTGCACACTTCCAATGTTGCGCCACAGGATTGGTAGAGGAGGGGATCGAAAGGCCGTGGCGCGACGTACGCGACAACGTAAAACCGAGGCGTAGCGACGACACCATTTGCGCGAAACCTCCGATACCCGGGAGGAAAGATTGGATCTTTGAATGCAAAAGTATGCGGACCGTCGCGAGGTTGGAATTTTCATCCTTCGCCGAGTCGTAACCCCCGCGCCAATACAGTGACCCAAAGAGCGCTCCTATAGCTACCAGAGAGGAAGAAGGAGCTCCCCTCTTACCAGGGCCCTCTTTTGCATCTCCAAGATTTGCCCAGACATCGCTATTTTGCTCCCAGATGATTATAGAAGATTAACACAAAAGCAGCTTTCCCCTCTCTCTTTCATGGTAGCCAAAAGTATTCAATGGGACATCAGTGCAGGCCATGTATTGCTAAGGCATTACGTCGATAATCAACGTAGCAACAGCGGCAATTTCAGCATCATTTTTTTATTCTCCGATCGGCAGTTTTCAGGAGTAAAAAAAAAAGACGGAATCTCGATCTGCAAATTGGGCTTTGGGTAGCTGGGCTCTCGTATGTCACATACAAATAAAAACCTTAACGAGCATAAATACCCTGTGTTTATGGTGTGGGTTTTAATAAAGAAAAGTGGTTTGCACCAGCTCTGTCTCAGCCTGCGGGGGAGGCTGCGGAAAGTGAAACGTGCCACCTCCTCTTCTAGGTGAAGCCGTCAACTGGGTGCAGTGTGACGGTGGCTGCGAGCAGTGGTTCCACCTGCTGTGTGTCGGGCTGAGCATGAACGAGGTGAAGGACAGTGAGGACTACTACTGCCCCCAGTGCATCCCGGCCAAGGGCAAGGCCTCGGACACCGAGGAGGACGGCACTGCGCTTCAAGACGTCTTCAAGGTCAAACAGGAGGGGGAGGAAGAGCACCAGGACGAGGAGGTGCCACAGTGCGAGGAAGTGGACGACGCGGTCGGCCACGAAGTTGCGGAGTGCCCGGCGGAGACGGCGGTTGTCCTCGAAGAAAGCTGCTGCCAGCTGGTCGAAGCCGCCGTCTGACTTTACTTTTAGGCCACCACCCACGGTTTTCGTTTGTTTCCTGAGAGAGGAGGAGGCCAGAGACTCGGAAGAACGAAGGAGGGAAGGAAAGTGTTTTGGTTTTTGTAGGATCATCGTCTCCGTCGTCGGAGCTTTGGCTCGAACCGTGGAAAAAGTGTGTCGTTTTCTTCGAGCCGAGGGAACGACGGCCTGCGTTGGATGGCTTGTGCAGTTTTTTTATGGTATTTTTGTATATCATTTTGTCCCCCTTCTTATCAAAGAATCATTTCTTTTTTTTTTTTTTTTCTGGAACTGCGAGGGACTGGCGGTGATGGTGTCGTGCGTCGCGTTTCCTTACAATGCTGTCTCGTCTGCATGTGTGCGTGTACTCTTCTCTTGTGACTCGTTTGAAGGCTCTTTCCTCCTGTACTGTTTTTCGGTGTGTCCTTTCTCCGTGCACGCATGCACGAGGCCCTTGCGGCTGCAGCCTTTAGGCCCGGCCGGGACGCCTCCTCGCTATGACAACTGTGCCCTTTCCCACCTTGGGCATCGACGCGGGGAGAAAAGCTGCCCTCGGTGTCTAAGTGCGTAGCCGGGAGATGGTCGTGTATATATTATATATACATAAAGATACTATACGAAAAGCCTAAAAAAACTATGAGGGTCGAGTTTGACTCGTTTCATGTGTTCCCCGTCCCTTTCCGTCGACGTGAATTTCCGGTTCGAAGGAATCCTTGCAGTTCTGGTAAAGTAGTCCGAGACCTCACTCCCTCTCATCTCACTGTATTCTATTTAAGCCATTGGGTTCTCGAGTCGTAACATTGCATTGGCTCCGCTAGGCTGTCCACCCACGCCGTGCTTGTCCCGTTCCTAGTCTCGGAAACGGGCCCTTTCGTTGCTGTTCACTGCTGAGAATGAAACGCACCCGGCACGAGGGTAGAAGGCTGGTATTGGGGAGTCTTCATTAGTTGTGTGGTGGAATGCTCGTCTGTGTGCCACCCCCCCCCTTCCCCCTCCCCCCCCCCTCCCTCTCTCTCTCCCTCCCTCCCCAAAGAGTTTCTCTTGAGAGGAAAGAACAAAGATAACATTGACCTCTGAATGAAGGCGAAAAGGTGCACACACTGTTCTGTGTCTCATCCGTCTCTGTGCTTTGCAAATTTGTGCTTCCTGTCGCCGACGTACCATTCACATTTTCATTACATACAATCACTGTCTGCAACTTCAGTTAAACAGGTCAAAGCTTTGTCCACGCGCAACTGTGTAGCGCATTTCGGGTACGGGCAGGCGTAGCGGGTGGTTACCACCCCATATTTATTTACATTGTAAGACTTTTTTTTTTCTTCTTCCTGTGGCTGTGAAAAGAGTATGAACAATGTGCTGTTTTTTTCTTGTGCTTCCTCTTTTGTGCAATTATTTTTTTTAATTGTTATTTTCCAGGTTTAGAGAGGTATTTACTCGTCTTTCTCACCCATTCTCTGAGGCAGTGTGTGGCTCTTGGATTATAGATAGTGATTAGTATTGTTGCACATTATTTTGCACCCCCACCTTTCTTGGAGAGTGATAATTTAGTAGAAGCACGTGCATTTAGAATGTACCCCCCTCCCCATCCAAGGAGATTCATTCTGCCAAGCGTGCAGAAACACTTGAGCAGCCAGATTCTGTGTTCCCGATGTTTATTTAACAGGCACGCTACGACATATAGACGAGATGATACTTCTGTCCAAAAACATTCGATAAAATTGATATTGCTTGTAAATACATGGAAATTGAACGTGAGTGTGGGCTGTCTTGACTTGTTTCCCTGTAGATTCTATTGCCCAGGCAATTGTAACAGTTGAGAATACATCTGGTCGATGAATACTTTTTCGTAACATTATTTCTGTGTCCGAGGCATACTCTAGTATTCTATGCAGACACTTTGTCCTAAATTTTAAACTCCTATTTTTTGTCTTAAATTTTAAACTACTAGTTTCTGTCCTAAATTTTTAACTACTAGAGTACTAAGTGACTACAATCATTATTATGAAATGGTCTGCAGAAAAGAAAGTGTGTATATAAGAGTTTTTTTTTTTTCCCCAGATGCTATAAAGTTGATTACAACACACTTGGAGGTGGCAAACTAGATTTTGAGATCTAGAAGTATGCGCACTTGTCTTTAAAACAGTCATTTGCTCGAAAGGACAGGTGTGCTGCGAAGTATAGTAATCCTCTTGTACACACACGCAAGTTTTTGCTCCTGCCAGATGGGCTCGCACGATGAAGCATGTTCCAAGCTTATCCTAAACTCTTCCAGAGTCCTTGAATATGCTACTGGTCACGAAGCTTCTCCGTAACGCTACGTTGGAACTTGGTGCGTAACCATGTGCGGCGCCGGCGTCGACAAGGCTAGGAACCGCCAGTCTAACCAGCACTGCTGGGAGTCGGGTAACCAGGAGGTGTTGGAATCTCAAACCCCCTCTGAATGAGCCACCAATAAATCGCAAAAACTAGTCATTGCACCGACAGCGCTTCTCATTAATGCAAGCGTCTTTGTCTTTCTGTATTCTCATTAAACTGCTCAATCTAGCATATTTGCAACCGCCAAAAATATTGTCCAATTTTTATTTTCTCAAAATTATTTTTTATAAACCCCTCATTGTCAAAATTTAGTGTCGCGACTGGTGCCGTCTAGTTAGAGGCACTGCAAACCCATACGCTCAATTAACTGGCTCTTTTTTTGCTTGCAAAGACATTATTTGAAAGCAAACGAAAGAAGCTTACTTTTAAGTTGTCTCATTAGAGATTAATGAAGAATAACCAGTGTTGCTGCATACAGTGATTAATTACAGGCATAACAAAATGTCGGTGTGCAAGAAATTATTCTTCTAAAACTACTTGTAGTCACGAGTTTGGGGCGACTCACGAGTGGCCAAACGAAAATGCCCCCTTTAGGACAGTAGTGCACCTAGCGGCACTTTTTGGCCCTGTACCAAGCTTTGGCAGAAGTTTCGTGACCAATAGTGTTTTGAAGGAGTCGAACCCTGCTGAAGCAAGAAAACTGCTTTGTTTTCACTTTGTATCTACTATACATCAGAATTTCTTGTCCAGTGTCATTTAAGTGGACCCCTGCTAACAATGCAGTGTTTGGAAAGAACTTGGCAGTACAGCACCATTGTCCAAATATCCACAGGATTGTTTTACAAGTACTGCGATTATAAAAATTCTGAGTGCAAAACATGCTCATATATAGACATGTTTATACTAGATCAGTTTTAGCATGTCACTCCAGTGGCGTAGCCATGGAAGTGACATGCTCCCCCCCCCTCCTAAAAAGATTCCTGGCTACGCCACTGGCGCACTCAGTGCTGGTGGGTCTCTAAACCGTAAATTTGCTGTTCAAATGCAATTACTTGATGTAGCATAGGTACTTTCTTGAAAATATGCCTTATTGGTGCATCTGGTAGGGCTGCAGGTAACCAGAGGTTCAAAGGTAGCAATGTTTGCAAGGTGTCGTCATACTGCACTCTTGAGTGCGGGCATGTCAACACTTCCATTGCATGGGTACGCAAGGCCCTCGTAAAGTGCGAAGCTTGTTTGGTCCTGTAGCTTGAGACTGGGTAAATTGGATTAGGACTCTGTCTGTAGTTGAATCAAGACTATTGTTGTATCCAGTGGTGTAGCAAGGCCATCCGGCACCTGGAACCCTTGTGTCTTGCGTATTGCCCCCCCCCCCCCCCCCCCCCCCCCCCCCCCCCCGTTTCACTCCTCGAGGTTGCAACCAACAGGTAGAGGAGTAGAGGAGGGGGGTACTGCCAGAGGAGGCACCCCCTACGTGACTAGGACGCCTGGTACCCAGGGCCTAGGCCCCCCGACCGCCGCCCCCCCCCCCCCCCGCACTTGCTATGCCACTGGTTGTATCATAGTGCTTTGTGTGAATAGTTATGAAGCAAAAAACACCATTTTTAACGCTTTTGAAAAGTTAGTCATAGTGGCATATGTGGTTTGACTGAAACATTGTACAGTCTTTGAACTGTACATGTCCAACTGCCTGCTATGTCATCAGGTAGGATAAACTGCTTGGACATCTGGCTGATGCCACAAAATATTCACCATTCTAAGTCATCAGGACCACACCTTGCAAAAGTTTCATTTTGTGGTCTCGGGCAGTCTTTGTGGAGAAGCTGAAACTCCGGCTTGCCACCAGAGGACAGCAAAAGCCATTCTCCCTTAGAGTTCCTGTACAGGCTCCCTACGGGAGCCAAAGTTGCGGGCTTTCCTCCGTCTGGCGTACCCAAATTCGCCAACCAATGTTGCCCGCTGACCATAGTTGCCAGTCTACCGCTACTGCGGCGGGTGTATGAAGGAAAGGGAGAAGATTTCAACGAAGAGAGGGGAAGGAGGCGGAGGAGGAAATGTAAATAGAGGGACGGAGGAAAGCCAAGTTGCGAGTCTGTTTTCCACGTGCCGCAGCGCCGCTATTCGCCGAAATCTGATCTCGTGAGGATCCGGATCAAATGCTGTGCAGGAAAGTAGACGTTGCATGCGCCCCGACAGTACGTTCCCCTGCTTTTGAGTGCGCTGCCGCTATTCGCCGAATTTAGTCGCGCGAGGAGCAGGATCAACATGCTATGCAGGAAAGACGGCGCTATGGGGATGAACGTGCAACTCTGGCTCCCATAGGGATCCTATACAGGAACTCTATTCTCTCCTAAAGCCCCTCTATCCTGGGAAAAGTGGTGCCATTTGTAGTTGTGGAAATGCTCGAAACACATGCTGTGCACCACTTCTGGGAAGAACATGGCGCCTAGCTCAGTGCTCTGCTGTGCCGCCATGATCTTCCCAAGGGCTGCACGTGCCTCTTGCACCAACGCACCTTGCGCTACTTTTTAAAACATGAAGAGACTTTATTCTCTACATGCCCAGTGAAGATAAATCCAGGGTCTACAGTACTAGAATTGACAAAGCTGGCTTGATTGCCACCATCTACAAAAAACTTGTTACTTACCCATATATTCTTCTTATTGGTTCTACTTCTTTGGAACAATACCAGGCTAAGCACCACCATCTTAAAAAGCAGTTCCCACCACTACCATATTGAAAGCATGCAGAGGAATGAACCATACTTGATCAAATGAAACTGCCGAAAGACAAAACCTTTGGCAGCATATTTTCGAACATTTCCTCTTTGGAGACCGTGCAATACAGGGGTTTCAAACACTCTGCCTGAGACTTGCTGGGACGTGGCCTGCAAGCAACCAGCTACGAGTCCCCGTTCATGTCTTGAGCGCTAGAAATAATGTGCGCCATAGTGGTCTCTTCTCGCCATTCATTTTTGCTCGAAATGTAGCTCTGCTCTTTTGACGCATTCACATAGTTTATTCTTATCTGCGTTTATTTACCCTTTGTTTCGCTCTATCTTTTGCTTCCCAGTTCTTTGTAATGTACAACAATTCCGCAAACTCTCGATCAGCAGGAGCAATTGCCTAAGATAAAAGCTACCAGCTCGGTATTCTCGGCGAGAATACCGAGCTGGAAAAATATTGACATTAAAAGACAAGTATTTGTTCAGAGTGTTGTCATAAAAATCGCCAGAAAAGCAAAGAACTGTCAAATTAACTGTTTGTTTTCGAGATGCACGTTGAGCTTGGTTAATCTGAGTGAATTGAGCAACGGGAACGACAATGTTTCTTGCTCTCTTGTTCTATTAAAAATGACAACATGTTGGCGGCGCGGTGTCATTTTAATTGTTATTGCATCAGGTCAGGGCCCAAAGTAGTCATATAGACAAATAAAATCTCAAGATGTCACTACAAGGTCACAAAAAGCATAGCATAAGCAGTCTCCTCTCTAAAAACCTTAGACTACCCCCCCCCCCCCCCCCCCCCCCCCCTCGGCCTCTTACGTTGGCCCTGGACCTTTCCGATGTGGGCGATCTGGCCCCCATACTTAAATAAGTTTGAGACCCTGATGTAATATGATGATAGTGTCCCGTCATACATCCAATAGTGAATGCATATACTATTGATAACTTTCACGGCCTATATTTAGAAACTGACAACACGGCATGTATGCACATGTTTGTCGCGGTAAAGCGTACACCAGCCACGTGCACGAGAGCTCGGAATGACACCGGCCATGTTGAACATGTGGGTAATTGGCATGGAACAAGTCTACAGATGGGCCTAGCTCTGCAGTGCATCAAGAAAGCCATACTGTATTTTTGGGCGACAATGGTGCAAACAAGAATCTTTTCTAAGAACTTTATCCTCCACAAAAAAATTAATGTGGTTGTCACCGTGGTATATCAAAAGAATTTCCTTCCACAGATGACGAGCCGCTAATGTAAAAATTGGGCATAGATAAGGGCAAATTGAACAGAGCCGTCATTATAGCCTCCACCCTGCTTATACACCTGTTTGCAGTGGAGGATACAGGGACAACGCAGCATGTTCTGAACAGAACCACACCACCTAGGTAAAAATGGAAGATTGAACATATGAAGGTTACTTCCAAAAACTTGGCACTGCCATTTTTTTTTTCTGTAGCTTTAGGGTTACTTGAAAGGCCTCTTTTCTGACTTTTGCTGTTTAGTATGAATGCTCAGTGTAAGCAATAAGCAGAAGGTCCACTTGTTTTTCTCTACGACTTGGTGTTGCAGAAAAAAAAAAATTCGACACCTAAGCACTTGCGAGTTGTGAATGTGAAAGCATGAATGTCGTTCTTCCGCTCAATTAGTTTGTCTGTGGTGTACTCGTGTGGACGGCCACGTTTCGCTACTGCTAAGGTTGCGGCCGCCGACGAAATAGATGCCTCAGGCGCCATCGTGCTCCTTGGCGACGAAAAGCAGCCGCAGCTGCCACCCCCCCCTTCCGGCAACGTCCAACATGAGAGCTGTGGCCGAGCACGCTCCTTCCTGGCATGCGGGCCGGAGCGCCAGGGCACTACGATTGTGCCAACTGCATTTGTAAGCAGGTTTTGCTGTTTAGAATTCAACAGTAACAAAAACGTGTAAAGTTAAATACAGAATGCATTCCATGGTTCTGAGCCTTTTGAACAAGTCTACTAAAAGCCCCAAAACGTTGGAGACCAATATACGCACGAAGTGGTCCAAGGTGACTAAAACTAAAAAGTTGGAGACAAACGCGTGTCTAACCGCCCATTCACATGAAGCGGATCAGCGTTCGCAAAGCGGTTGTATAAAGATCCAGTACAATTGCTCGCACACTTGATGTCTTCGAGTGCGCGTGCAATTGTACTGGATCTTGATACAACCATGTTCGCAACCGCTTTGGGAACGCGGATCCGCTTCCAGTGTGAATCAGCAGTAAAAGTATCCCAAATGTCAAAGAGGCTAGGACACATAACGCATTGTGCCTATGTTAACTGTGTATGTTAAGAATTGAGGTACTCTAACAGATAAAAAAAGAGAAGTTGGCTCAAAAACTTTTAATATATCATCCAAACTGTCATACAGGGAATGCAGGTACGCGGCTGTCGAGTTGAGTCTTGCTTGAATGCAAGAAAAGACTAGGCAGCTTCCTTGATAGTAACAAGAAAGACATTCATAAAGCACAAATACAGCCCATAAGAAGCAGAAATATAAACAGAACTGCAGATTCTTCTCCACACATCCAGAGTTCGCTGGAGAGCAGCTCAGAAACTTGCACCAACACACTAGAGCTCGTCCACCTTGCTGAAGTACTTGAGCTTGTCCTCTGGATTCGGGATGATCTGCAAAATTTTTCATCTACGAGTGAGGAAATTTGCCGCGATACATTGCCGTGCCGTAAAAAAAAGGCAGTTAATCAGAATTCTGCCTTTTTATTTACAGATCATTACACAAAATTGCCACAGATAGAAAAAAGAGATGCATGGGAAAAAAGAAAATTGCCCTGAGCCGTTGCAGCCCACTAGCAGGAAAAAAGAATGAAATGTTGGACTAATTGGGACAAATTCATTGCGAAAAACAGTGCAAAAAGATACGAAGGATGAGAAGTGAGGTGACAAGAGCAAGCGCTGGTCTTGCCGGTCCTCATCCTTCGTCCTACATACCCTTTTGCGGTGTTTTTCCCAATAAATCACCATTACGAGTTTGGCAGCTAACTTTTAACTGAAAGATGCATGGCCTCCGTCACACCTCATTTGGCCATGCATAAATAGCCGCACGCTAGTTGGTGCCAGTTGCAAAAATGCATACCAGTAGGATTATGGCATCCCTATCTGAGTTGGGAAATACTCAAAGAAGATTGTACTTAAAGCAGTATGAAAGAGATCTGAGGCCCTGTCTTCAAATACTATTTTCTAGTTAGTAGCTGTGATGAATGTGTGTTCTGTACCTGCTCTAATTTCCTTTTTAATTGACTAAAGGAAGCTCTGTTACTTTTTAAATTACTTAATTAAAGTACTTTTAAGATTTAATTACACAACACGTGCCCTGATCAAAGTCTGCCATCAATCAAATCGCAACACTCAAAGAAAGTGAAAAAAGTGTGCACACAGGGCTGGGTATGCTCATCCTTGCAAGAAGTCATTTTCAGGCTAGTATCACAATGAAAGCCTATACAATGCATTAATTTCAGGCAACACTAAGGAAAATACTGCAGTTGATATAATTGTGCGCTTTGCTCGTGATAAAGTTCACCCGTCGGAGTACTTGTAATACAGTATAGCCTCGTTACAACAGATCTGGTTACAACAGACGTTCAGTTGCAACATGTCAATTTGTAAAGTTTGATTGGTCTTCCTATCTATGCCCCTGAGCAAACTTCGCTTACTACAGATCCCGTTATAACATACATTTGGATATAAAGGACTATGTGAGGGAGTTTGTAAGTACACCGTTCAATTATAGCAGGCTCAACATCAATCACCATTTCTGACATTACACGGCTTTGGTTCGGTTTTGTTTTGCGAACAGCTGTCATCGCACTCGGTACATTGCAAGCCTCATGCGACCCAAAGTGCAGAGTGATGACAATCGTTGGTACAGCTCAAGAAAAAAAAAATCTCCAGTATCTATTCCCATTTTGTCTGTCTCACTGGTTAGAACAGACACCAGTCACAATCCATATCAAAGTCTGTAGAAAGAGTATCTGCATACTTTTTTATAACAGACAAATATCTTTACGACTATCAAAGTCTTATAACGTGTGCAGCGGCAAGGGAATATACCTTCCCTTGCCGCTGCACACCCCTTTTGTAAACGGCCGCTCGGTTCTTTTCCCCAATCCCACACGACGGCAGTCCGGAGCGACAATGCCGCATAAATGAGATCATTTGCCACGCCTAATGTGGCAGAAAAAGGACGCCAAAAAATCAGTTTACGAATTGGAGAAATTTTTGTGTCCATGAATGCAGGAAAACGGCAATTCGGTAGTTAACCGTAATCAAATGGGCCTCCAGAGCCCTGCATAAACAAGCGTGTCAGTTATGCGGACAACAATAAAGCATCGGATAAAAAAGAACAGATCTGCGCAGACTCGAGGCCGGTTCACACATTTGCAACCATTTACGACCGTGTGCCTTAAAACCTCTTAAGACACAAGAAGGCACCAGCGCCACCTATCGGGTAGTCATGAAAGACTCGCAGTTTTCGTACATTTTCTTTTTTTTTTTTGCGCAATATTCTTTCTTGTTTGGCTCGAAAAACTTCCGTTATAAATTACCATTTCTCGTAGGAAGCATGTACATCTGACCTTGCTAATTTTGCAAAACTTTTGCTCCAGCGAAATTTGGTTCCAAGGTCACCTCATATACGGCGACAACGGTTTCTCTCGCCGTAAGCGATTGCGAGAACTCGATCCTAAGCAGATGCAAGCATGTGAACTGGCCCTTACACCTCCACAGGAAAAGCGACTAGACAGAGTTCAAAAAAATTCTCGCTCGCTCGATCCTGCCAACAAAGACCGGGAGGCGCAGAATGTGGACAGTCGAGACATTAGAGCAGACTGCACCGTGTGCGTGGTTTGTGCTATACTCTCTTCGCTGCGCACCAAGATGTTGGCCAGGGTGATGCCGAGCAAATGAGTGCGTCGCACGGGTGCTACCTTATATGACTTTTGCGCGATATGTGACGTCGAAGAGGGAGCAGACACACAGTACGACTTCGCACCACTCCTGCAGCGACTTCGCACCACTCCTGCAGGAACATTTTGCGGGAGCCCAATCCCTTCTACGCAGCTGTTCTACGCAGCTAAGTGGCTTGCCACCGCACCGACCCAGGATGAAGCCCAGCTGGGGCGTGAACTTTATAATTAAGCTTTATATATAACCCTAATGTCGTGCAATGCTCCCAGCATGTCACTTGTTCATGACGCTTGTCCATGTCGATCGTTCATGACGCTCGTTCACAATACTTTTCTCATAAAAAATGACCCATAAAACACATTCTACATTAAAAACAAGCGGATGGACGTACCGTGTCGCCCCCTGGCTTCCAGCCGGCCGGACACACTTCGCCGTGCTTGTCCGTGTACTGGAATGCCTGGACCAGGCGGAGGGTCTCGTCCACTGAGCGGCCCACGGGCAGGTCGTTCATGGTGATCTGACGCAGCTTGCCCTTGTCGTCGATGATGAACAGTCCCCTGAAATGCGCCAGGCTCACACTAAGGAGACCATCCAAATGCGGGCCGAACGGCCGTCGATATGCTTGCGCGATGGTGGCCCTCGTGTAATGGCCAATAACTTTTATAAAGATGCTGGCCTATTGTCACCTATTCGTTAGTTTCTACTCGAATTGACCAGCTGCAATGATACGTCGGAGCACCACGCTCTGGTTGGAATGATTAGTAGGTGGGCTCAAAGCTAGATGCCTTTGTCCCCATTCAGTGTTTGTGTGGGTTCAAATCCTGTCGAGACTCGTAGGATTTAGTTCTCTATTCTCAATTAATTACTATTTCTTCTTAATCATCAGTGATGAAGCAGCATTTGACCTTTTGTAGCAGGTTCTGTAGTGGGCAAAATACCGGTTTAGAGCAGCCACTGATGCTTTTGGAGCAGATGCCAACATTTTTTAGCACATCACTCAAAAATGAAAAAGTTATTGTATCGCTAAATAAGTTGATCTATGATAATGATTGAGGATTTCTCTTTGGTACTGGACAATATTACTTATTATTTTTTCTAATGAAAATAGATAGGGTGCGAAAGGAACAAAGAGCCTTATTTTTAGAAATAAAGTTTGGATCAGAGTAGGTTTTGTTTACAATGGGTACCCAAAAAAAACAAAAAACTTTCTGTACGATGTATTACCCTAGATCAATCCTGAATGAAACTAGTAGTATCTCTCTCCTCCCAATTTCACACCTGGTAGTTTTTTCAGCCTGTAAATATAATTCCTGTAAAATTACTGCAAAAGCCAGCATACCTGCTATGGTATGTCTATCAACTGAAACGTCCCCCCCCCCCCCTCCCCCCCCCCCGCCTTACACACACTAGTTTTAAGAACCTTCCCAACTCAAGACTAATATTACAAACTGCAAAAACAACCACACACAAATATTATCAAAACCTACACTTGTGATTTAAAAGTGACAGTGCTCTTTAGTGGCGTTGGAACCAGAGTGAAGTCAAAGTTTGCTGCTCTTTCGATCGACATTTGTGCGTGAACTACCTTGAATACCTCATTTACTCAAAGACAGACCCACATTTTATTTGTTTTTCTGTTCTCGTAGCAGCTTTTTAAACTTAGAAATCAACCTAAAATCGACATTAAAGAAGGTAGACCTGAAACAGTTCTGAGCATAACTTCCGAGCCTACCGCACTGACCCAGGCGCTCACCCATGTCAGTCGCTGCTCCTAGCACTCTGGTGTAAAGCGGTGAAGCTTGACACGCATGCACTGGTGAAAGGTGGCGCGGAGGCATGCAGCAGACATGATAACTGATGGTCTCACCAGGAGTACAAGACCCTGGTTCTGTCTTATGAGGGTAGCCGCCATCCTACTATTTTGTAATGTTTTCTTGCGACGTTTAGCTCCTGACATCGACGACGCCGTCTGGAAATTAGACGACGTCGGGGATCAACTCGCCAGTGCATCAAGCGGCCAGCGCGGTTGGCAAGCGGTCTCTAAACCTTGTTTCACCTTAATTCAAAGTGCAGCCAACGCTACTAGCCAATGGAACCAACCAAACAGCGTCAAAGCGCGACATCATGGCATCCGTCCATCTTCCTGTGAATGTTCTTTTGTCAACTATATCAATTCAGTACAGCAAATGGCCCGTGACTTGCACTTTTTGTGTGTGTGTTCATGGTTGTATGTGTCAGAGCCTTAGACAGTGCTCTGACCTAAGCAAGACGAAACAAACTACTATGCGGTGAGTAGGTGAGTTGACACGCTGCAAAATAGTTATTTGTACAATTTTACTTTCCCCCTACTTCTCTCAAAATTAGTCGGCCAATAATAAAATATTTTTATTTTTTTTGCTTGGCTTAAGCTTTTTTAGCGCAGGTTTGTCACAATTCTTAGCAAAATTGGCATTTTGGCGCAAGATAGAACAGACTTTTGTTTATGGCACAGCACTTCCATCACTGAATTATGTGTTCTTTTGTACAGATTGCCCTCTAAAGAATGAGCTACACGTTTCGTAACGGTTTCCGTGGAATTCCTTCACACTTTTCTCGGGGATTCCCACCCTCAAGCAAGTTCTGGGTTAATTATAATTACCTGAGTGAATGTCCCAAATCTTCGAGGTAGACACCGTAATCCTTTGAGATCTGGTGTGTAAGGTCAGACAACAGAGGGATCTTGATTGGACCCAGACCTCCTTGCTTCCTCGGGGTGTTAATCCTAGAAGCAGAAAGGAATCTCGATTCAACCTCCATGCTGTTCGCACCAATCTGAGGCAAGCCACCAGCTTTACTCCGAGCTGATCGCTCGCAAGCCTTCGTCTTCCCAAGATGGTGATGTCCACGAGCTACTACATACCATGCAAGGTGCGTAAATGGGGAATCGACTGAGCACGCAATCACTTCAGCGTTGAGTGCCTTGAACTCCTTCACACGGTCGCTGAAGGCTATGATCTCAGTTGGACAAACAAATGTGCTGAAAGAGACAAAGAAATTAATCACCCTCCAGTGCTCATTCAAAACTTGTCAGTTTCCTATATGGCAGTCAATGGCAAGGGTGGGTGTTGGTTAGGACCTGTCTATAGTCGGGGACAGGTCAAGAACGAAGTGGAAGCTCCTCCCCCCTCTTTCCACTTTAGCGGAGCGAATGGTGGAGAAGAGGTCGCCTCCTTTCCAGCGTTCGCCCTACCAAAGTGGAAAGAGATGGGAGGAGCTCCCACTTCGTTCTTGACCTGACACCGACAATAGAAAATTTGTCCGAACAAGAGGGAACTCATCAACAGGGCAGATGGCTAAGCTTTCAACAGCCTATAGACGTTTGCAAGTACGGCTTCTGTGCGCTGCCCTCTTGCTGCTGGTATGGGTAGATTGTATGATAGTCAAGCATTGCTGAAGCCGTGAATACGCCTCAGCAATGCTTGACTATCAGACGATCTACCGAGACCAGCAGCAACATGGTGATGCCCGGAGGCCATAGTTGCAAACGTCTATAGTCGGTGACAGGTTAAGAACTCAGTAGATGCCGTTGCCTTTTACCGGGGTCGTGCGTGTGACAAAGCATTACCAAAGATAGAAAGCCAGCGCTCAAGGCGGAGCATCTAATGGGCTCGTTTACCTAGCATAGTTACTTTGTAGAATCTGGTTAATACTAATTTAAATCAAGTATAGAATGCACTCACAAGTCCAATGGATAGAAGAAAAACACCAGGTATTTTCCTTTAAAATCAGATAGCTTGAACTCTTTGAACTCTCCATCCACCACGGCAGTGCCCGTGAAGTCGGGAGCAGGTTTAGAGACTGAAAACAAGTGAAAGACAATGCAGGGTTTTGTCACCATCCGACGGCACTTCAAACCCTTGTTCAAGTGCCGTCCAACGATAACCACCCAACCAAGCATTCAAAAGAAAGCATACTACTAACATAATGCAGCCGATATTAGTATGCCTACTTCCTCTATAATTTTGTTTAGTGCCAAGTTAGCTTTTTTCTAGTATAGTGGCGTGTGCCAAAATCGAGCATTCCAAAAATGTACATGACCCCTTATGTGTGTAGAGCACAGAAGCTTATGTCTAGGGCTCCGTGTTTTCAGACAAATCCGAAAAACTCCGAAAAACACCCGCCGGTAAAATTGTTCTCAATTCGGATTTATCCGACAAACTCTGAATTGTTATGTGCCCATAACCGCCCCCCCCCCCCCCCCCCCCCCCCAGCAAAAAAAAATATTTTTTTTTTTTTTTTTTTTTTTTTTTATAAAATTTGAGCAGCGCAGGATCAATGGTCGTGGGAAAATGACACCATAATTATCTTTCAAGCCTCGGACCGTTGTCAAAAGGGGCCTTGCGGCTTGTCTCGTCAAGGTTGGTTCAGGGAAACAGGTCATCGTACCATTCGTGTCACGACAAAAGTAACTCTTTTGGTTTTCAGTTTGGGCCATGGGATTTGGGATTTAGAGAAAGGAGAGGGTATGTTTCTGGAGGTAACATAAAAGCTATGAACCATAGAGATTGCATAAAATAGAGAAAAGAGGCACTTGAAACTTCTCTATTACATCCTTAACCACTGCACCTCGCACAGCCGTGGGATAGATTGATGGGATGACTACCAGTTTCCTTGCGGCTACCTCCGGCAGTTTGTTGATTTTAAGGTATCAACGTTTATCGAAGCCACACTTGTGTGCGACTTTTGTCGTGGGACAAATTAGAATTGCCAATGATAACGCCAAATTCAACTGAAGAAATCTTTATTGATACAAGCACGTTTTATTTTTTTATCTGGCATACGTTTGCATCCGGTTATTTTTCATTATTTTTTAATAGGAAACACTGTGAAATTAATCTCAAAATTTCAGAGAATTGGGGATTCACGAAAAATAAACTCAGATAAACACCGAATTTTCGCTAAAAAATAAACTCCGAAAAACACCCTCCGAATTTCACGAAAAATAAACTTCGAAAACATGGAGCCCTACTTATGTCTTACCACGCTGACATCATCTCAACTGGTTGTGATGTAATCCTTCAAAATAGGACTATATCTACCATGACTGACATAGGACTTACGCCTCTTGATTCTAGACGCGCTGTAGAATGGCTTAAGCTCCTACACAAGATAGTGAATAACTGTGCACTTAATCGGGAAAAATATGTTGGTTTTGTTACTGAATCACGCACTCAAAGCTTCCATCCTTTAAATCTTGCACCGTACAAAGCCCACCTCCACTGTTTTAAATATTTGTTTTTTCCTCGAACGATAGAAAACTGGAATAACATAAATGGATCAGTTCGTTATCTCGATTTTGATAGGTTTGTATTAGAAATACAGTAGGTGTTCTGGTATGGTGCCTGGAGTCTGCTATTGAAGTGTGTGTGATTGTTTTTGTACTATACTGCATTTTTCACGGTTTTCTAAATTTTGTTTTGTACGGTGTGTACATCTTTAATCGTTGGACTTTTTGAATGTATATGTATGTTTTCTTTCCACTCCTGCGATATGACCTCACCGAGGTCGCAGTATTTTGAAATAAATAATTATTTGTTTGAAAAGACACACTAACGACAAAATGGAGGATTGACGTCATGTGCAAACAACCTATACTCCCGATATCATTTCCTAAAATACTTAGAGCTCACTCTGATGGCGCAATGTTAACACGTTTGGCTAATAATTTTTGTTCTCCGTACACGTGGAAGAAATTGTTTTCTGCTTTTGTTTGTTGAAGTTGCTCTGGCTATTGTATAGGCTGTCGCACCCGCCGCGTCGGCATGCACAAAGACCGCACGCACGCACGGTCCAGGCGCAAGCATGGGCAGGAAAGCATGCTGCTCACACCTGTGGCGTTTGCCACGCTCGCGCTTTACGATAACGCGTATCGGTGGCGAGCGGCTGAAGGAGCACACGTCATAATACAGTGTAACCAGAGTTTAGCACCTTCTAAATTTGAACGGTGCTTCAATGCGCGCGTGCAGTACCGTCGGACGGTACTCGAACGCTTCGCTAACTCTAGACACGACGTTTCTTAAAAGATAACTCGGCGCGAAATCACATCCCAGCGCGATATAAACTTGGAACATGTGGCAAAACGTTATGAAAACCAATTTTGGCAAGGTCCCTCAATTTACGACAAAGCCTCGCCAAATCGCGCGGGTCTGAAGCGCCAAAATCTACGGAATTTCACAGTATCATTTGCAAAGAAACACTTTTCACCACGACATCGAATTCAAACGTTGACGCCGGCGGTCCACGTCACGATAGCTTACTCTGAGCCTTGCTCCAGTGAATGTTGTGCCCTGAAGCTTTCGTAAATTCTTGTGGGTAGACCTGACCTCCCCCAAACGAATGGCATGCTTCCTCCAAACTGACTGTACTAAATAAGTTAATTACAGTGAAAAGAATCGCTAGAAAACAGACTGCCGCACTCCTTAGGGACGCCATACCAGCAACGCTTTGACAAATAACACAAAGCGCACAAACGGCACCGGAGGGCGCCAGATACCGGACACCAAACCAATAAAAGAAAAAAACACAACACAGACAGAAGGTTTTTTATTTAATATTTACTCGATCTCATTTTTTTAATTTTTTAATGCTGTTTAGTTTTGGCTAGAATTTAAGGAGTTTAGAAAATACAAAATTAGTGAAATACGGAGCCAATTGAGCGTGGATTGTGCATTGACTATATCCAATCCAACGCCGAGCAGATTTCTTTCTTGTACTGCTCGTGCCCGTACAAGTTTGTATTCGTGCACGCACAAGCTGACCGTTACTACTACTTTCCCAGCTCGTTCACGCGGCACAAAGTTGTAATCTCTCATCATAGGTAAACCATGAGCTCAGAAAACGCACCTGACCTCATCGAGGTCTTGGCGTACAGGAGGGAGCCCCCGCCGTCGAGAGTGTATGAGGTGCTCGACAGCGATGACAGCGAGAGCTCTTCAGACGAGTCGAGCGACGACTGCATTGTTGAACTTCACAGGGTAACTAGACTGGGTGGTCACTGTGTAACTCGACTGATTAACTTCCAAAGCTTGATTCTTCTCCAAAAACGTGCGAAATGTTACAGTAATTTGTTCGCATTTTTTGAATATGGCGCCTTTGTTACGTTGCGACGATGCCTCTTCATGCGCCAATAAAGGTTTCTGCGTGCGCAAGAAATAACGTTGGAGCACGTATCGTAGTTTCCCAAACGATAAACCACTACCTTTGAAAAGCGAATCGAATGACAACGAAAAATTGGGCTAACTTTCGGTTCACGGTTCATAAGGCTTGTTTTGATCATCTTGTTCAGAGGACTTTTTCGTTTGCGCAAATTTGTTTAGCCAGATTTATGAAAACGTTATGAGAGTGTATTAAATGAACTGGGGAGCCGAAAACAGGAAGGTGGGGTATCATTTTCACAGTCGAATTTGCTGATGTTGAGCTTTGTGCGTTTTCTTTCTATCGATTCACAAAGGTGTTATGTCTGACAACACTGGGGTGATTCCTACCCTAGAAAGAGCAGGTGATCTTATGGCAGCACCGCTCGTAGAAGAGTGATTCTTTGCAGTTGTATTCGTTCGGTGTTTGCACATAAACCTGCGTTTGAATTTCAGACCGCACCACGTCCACTGACAGAAAATGACGCAAATAAGCTCAAGGTGGTGTACGATTCAAGGTACGCGTTCCGCTAACATCCTTCTAGCCATCCACCACCGATCGACCCTTTTATGCTGGCGTTTTGAAACCAACCTTTGTTTCAGAATGCAGCAGAGACCGCTCTTGAAGTCACTAGCCGAATGTCACGTGGCCGGCGACGCGTCAAAGGAAGCGGGGTGCGCTCATCCGGGCAGCGTCACTGCCTTGAAGCTTGTGTCCTGGAACATCGATGGTCTAAACGACAAAGAAATCCAAGCCCGCACACTCTCCATTTGTAACGCCCTCAACGGGTAATCCATCTGTTTTGTCCACCAGACTAATCTTTAATGCCGCAGTCACACCAATCATACACATCATAGAAAAGACACAGTGTTTACTGCAGGCACGATGACTAAGAATTATTTGTGAACTTGCTTCGTGCATATTCGAAGCCTCTTTGTTCAATACATACGTATGCTTGGAACATGTCAGCAGATTGTTTTTTGTATGACCAATATGACAGCGCCGTCGTATAGTCGTGTCTCGTTAATATGGACACCTCGCATTATGGCCGAAATTATCGGCGACCAATCTTTCGCCATGGAATTCCGCACCAATAATGCGGAAACCCGCAGTCCTGACTACGGACAGCTATTTCGAGGGCGAATTGCGTAAATACGGGAATTTTGTCTGGTTATTATGGATGCCAGTACCCAAGTTTAAACACTAAAAGGTCCAAGACGCCCCTCGATATTAGTGAACCCAATAGGTCGCAGCATGCACCCGGATGTTTGTTGCCGGCCTTGTGATAAGCGGCGCGCACCAGAAGCTGAATTTTTCTCTTTTTGCGTAAAATGGGTCATTACCGCTTGCAGTCTCTTGTTGCATCAGATGGTGTATGGCCTACAACAGCGAACAAAGAACAATGAAACCTAAAGCAGCTAGGCCCCCTCACTGTAGCCCACCTCACTGTTTGGGGAATGGGAGAGAAGCTCGGAACCCACAAAGTTAATTTCTAGATAAGGCAATGATGGGAGGGGGGAATTCTTGTCCTCAAAGAGGATCGCAGCAAAAGCCCCCTTAGATTATAAGCCTGTCATTGGCATAAAATGCAAGGCCAGATGCTTCTTTGGTCACTTGGAAAGCAGAGTAGACAATGTCAAGTGAGAAGCGGAAGCGGTCGGAGAACATGGCAAATGTCAAACATAAACAAACAAAACTTCCTTTTTAACTGAAAAAAAAAAAAAATTCAGTTGAGCAGAAAAGAGAGAAAAAAAGAAACTTGGAAGAATACTCTGCGCCGACAACAGTAGATAATAAAGAAGCCGAGAGACCAATCGTAACTCAACGTGCAGCTCGCCGTGGCTTGGAAACAGTTCTCGCTTGCCTTGAGCAGAAAGGACGGGAAGAAAGCGCACTTAAACTAGCGGACGTGTTGTGCTTTTTGGTCGCAAAAGTAGGCTCGAAAGTGTCGGTACAAACCAACGTCTTCTCCTTTTTTAGCTAGATAAATCATGTATCTCTTGCTGTTGCTACACTTGTTAACATGTGTGTTTCGGCCCCGTTTCGTTATTATACGTGACTCGTGCTATGGACAATTCTTCTGGGGAACGGAGGCATCCATATTGACAAGACATGACAATACAACGAAGAAACATGCCTCGGGCAGTATCTGCAGAGTATCTTTCGTATGATGTATTAGTAGAGTGACCATGGCTTTAGTTGATCATTTACTGTGGTCTTTTCTTCAGAGACTGTAAGCTGGACAAACGACAAGAAAGTTGACATGATCACCGACTACTGCGATTGGCCAGCGCCAAGGTCAAGCGTGGCGCTGGTCAATTGTGCCAGTTGGCAATCTCGTCAACTTTCTCGCCAAGTGTCCAGCTTAGAGCCAACTTAGAACACTGGCTCTGTTTTAATTTTCAGACTGGAACCCGATGTAGTGTTCCTCCAAGAAGTCGTCCCTTCTATCGTGGGAGTAGTGAAAAAGCATCTCTCCAGATACAGATACATTCCGGGCGACGACAAGGGCTACTTTGCTGTGACACTCATCAACAAGAACTCCGTGAAATACATCAGCCATTCCGTTGTTCCTTTTACATCAACGCAAATGGACAGGCATATTGTTTGTGTTGAGGTGAATGGACTATCTCTTGTTGTTTTCCAAGTCCCGCTTCTATGGCACTTCCAAAGGCAGTTTGAGTTGGGGTGATTTTTCTCTTGTGGTTTTAGGATGCGGGGACTAGAGGTCTGCACGGGCCGATATTAAAGAGTCCAGCCCAGCCTGGCCCACTGTCTCTTGGCCCTGGGCCCACCTGTGGCCCTCTATCTATTTTAGAGAGCCGGCCCTTTCCGGCCGGAGGCTAATTTCCACGGGCTTGCTGAAGCCCGCTTTATTTTTGCCCAGTACGAATAGCTCACAAATTGCGCGGCATGGCAGCTCGCTTGCCACAGTTACACATGTTGACTACGGTACCCTATATTCACTAAAATAAGCATCTCCTTTTTTTTTTTGCTCCTATTATTAGTTGGACCAATCTGCAAGCCTATGCAGCTCGTCAGAAAAAAAAAAAATATCGTCCCATCTTTTTTTTTTTTGGTGAGCGAGCAAACATATTGGAAAGACTGAAAAATCAAAATGGCAAGCAAAAACAAAATCATGCCAAAGTTAAAAAGAAAGGGAAATGTCGCAACGGGTTTGGCTAAACGACTGACAACATTCTAAATGGCCCACTCCCGCTGAGTAGAGCCGCAAAAGAAAAAAAAAGTTGCTGTTTTTTGCTGTGGTTTGTAAGAAATTGCTTAGGAAAAGCACCGCTGAGGGGAACTTTTTCACCCGAATTGTGGATAGATGTACGCACTCGTACATACAGATGGTATACGCCTGCGAGATGGGCATTGTGTTGGCGCCTATGTGTGCGTGTTGATGGGGAGAAGCGACTGTACGATGACGGCGCTGCAGACAACGAAAATTAACGCCGCGGTGCTGGTGCCTGGGAGAGCATTCCGTGCATAGACACTGAGCCGTACAAACATAAACATGCTTTCAGCACTTGGACCTCCTCCACTGTGGTCCCTCCCGTAATCCCCCCGACAAACGTCCAAAAACATTGCTGCTAAAAAAAGAAAAAAAAAAAAAATTAATGGCCGGCTTGGTTTGCTTTGGCCCACCTTGTAGACTTGAAGGCAAGGCCCGTGCCTGGCTCGTGGGCTGGCTTGTACCCGTGCTGACCTCCAGCGGGGCCCACACTTATGTTTTATGTGGATAATATTTAAGTCGTGCCATTCTTTCTGGTTCAGACTCAGAAAAACTGATGTGCATTTGTGTTCTTAAACTGAGGTCAAGCTTGGTGATGAATGTGCTTCTATTATTTACTCATAAGCTATGATAAATGTTGCCTTTTGAATTTCTAAACTTACATAGACTTCTATAAAAGCAAGAATGGCATGACAGGAGCACATTGATGAATGAGCAAACACCTTGTTTCCATCATACCACTTGCTCACATTGTCACTAACTCCAACACCCACTCACTTGTGCACTTTTTCTAGCTCTTGCATTCTTATGTCCCATTGTGTCTGTGCATTAGTTGCTCTCTTAGCATGAATACATGCTGCTGGCTTCACTACAGCATGGTAGCTTCACTGATAACCATCCTGACCATTTCCCTTTTCTGTTTTTTTTGGTTTGTTGACCCTTTGCAGCATTGAAAGTGTTTTATACCTTTTTAGGATAGGTTGCCTTCAGCTCAACACATCGACCACCTATTTGTTTTTCTAGTATTTCTTTGTGAGGATTTCTCGATAGGCAGAGGGAACATTAGGAATGGCTGCGAAAGTAGATGCATCCTTTCCTCGTGAGGACCAATCTGGCAGTGTAGCGAAGCTCAGGTTCATTGCCTCATCTCGTCGACAACAGTGACATTTAGTGCATGACATTGTGACCGATGTCACATTGCCATGCCACGTGACGAGCATGTGTACAACTTCACACACTGATAAAATAAGCCAACAATTGCTCGCAAGTTGGTGACAGGGACCAATTTGCTGGCCCGAAAGGAAACGCGTATTCAGTATCATAAAATTCTGCTACTGAAAATTCTTTTGCATAAAGTTTTACCAGAATCACTGCCGTCTAAATTCGTCTACTGACAGGAGAGGGCGTCCCCTTTGGATGACCGGTTTCCAGCACGCACTCTTTGCCTTTCGTTGTGTTTTGACAGTGCACGTGTGTTTGGGGCTTACAAGGCACCTTTATCGAAGGAAGGAAACTACCTCACACTGGAAACAGGACAACTGAATAACCTGTTTGCCATTCTTATCCTTTCGGCGACTGGCGTCGGCTCTGTAAAGGAGGAGCTATAAATCACGCCATCTTTTCGATATTGTCGTGCATATAGCTTGGCATTCCTGCCATAAGAAGTATGCTTTTCCTAAAAATCTGTTCTAACACAATTTATACTAAATGGTGCCTGTGCGGCATGGGGTATAGTTTTCAGAGCGGGAGAAACAGTCCGCAAAAAGGGATAGGTCTAATGTGCTTCATAATCCCCAGATTTGAAAGTCTGTTTAACGTGGTATCCTGTCTCTGTCAATTTTTGCAGTCCGCTTTCGGCATTTCATTGATCTTTTACCAAAAGCTTTGTGTTTCTCTTTTTTTTTTTTCAGGCGACATTTAATGGTTTTCCACTGGTGTTAATGAACACTCATTTGGAGAGCATGGCATACTCATCCCAGGTAAGAAGCATTCAGCTGAGGAAATGCTTCCGGAGGTGCATAAAGGAACCCTCGGACAGGACCGTCATTTTTGGCGGGGATCTCAACCTCCGAGACTCCGAGGTAAGGGTGCAGCTTTTGAAGGTTTCTGAACTAAGACTTTCGTTGCATTTTTTTGTTTTTCCCCGTTATCTAAGGGTTGCCACAAGGTGTTTGTACCATACATACCTTTTTTATGGCAAAATATTCTCATTTTGTTTGCTTATGCACCTTTTAGCATGTTCATTCTTCGGAGGTTGATCTGTGCTTTTCATTTGGCCAAGTTAAACCGTGCCACAGTCACCTCACTTCCATGAACTGTTACTTCAATAGGAGAATGGCTGGGGTAACAGATGCTTGCCAACGATCCTAAAATACCGACCAGGGGTTGACGCATACCCAGATTATTTGGTGGCTCTAGTTTGTTATTACAATCCCAACTAGACTGCAAATAATGTTTTCATATCCCCATCAGGGGCTGCCGCGTTTAACACACTCTAATATTGTAGGTGAATCTCCACGGTCCCATAGATTATCTGTGGGTATCTGTAATTCTTGAAAATGTGGCTAAACATTACCCAAAAATTTTTTTCGGATGGCAGATAGGATGCAGATTTGGTGAGTCATGAACGCAGGTTGAATGCAATCTTCAAGGTTTGCACATTGAATGACAGTATGTTGTTAGTTTGCAAGCTCCTGTTCTTTGGACCAAACTCTGCTTCAGGTTGCGATGGATAGGTCTCTTATCTCAATAATCCGCTAAAGGCTGGTTCAGACACTTGGCGTTTGTTTACGACCGAGTTGCGATCTCTTACAACGAGAGGACACGCTGGCGTCAACTGTGAGGTCGCCCTGGAACTGCTTTTCAATAGAGCGAAGGCTTTGCAGCATTTGTGAAAGCTATCGGAAGTGATTGTTTTTAACATTTTCAAAAGTTTTCTCGTGCCAATAAAGAAAAAGTGATGCACAAAATGAATAGGAAATAAACGGAAATCCTAAGTGTTCGGGTAATTTCACCCTATCAAACACGAAAATCAAGGTTTGCCTTAGCCGGTGATGGTATTTTTATTCCTTTAAAGCTTTTTGCAGTGCAGAAAGACATCAGCGTTTGAAGGCCTTAAAACCTCATATTAATTTCTCTCATTATTATTACTGACTTTTCCAGGGTCAAAGCAATTACCGGTGGAATCCCCTTTTAGTGCGTGGTTCACTCATAAAAAGGTCGTCCGCTCTGCCTTTCAGGTTGCCTCTGTCGGCGGCGTTCCAGACGGCATGTTTGACGTGTGGGAGGCCTGTGGGAGCAGCCCTGCAACTCGCCACACCTGGGACATGAGCGTCAATGACAACCTGGACTTTGGAGGCGAACAGGCGAAGCCAAAGTGCCGCTTTGACCGCGTGTACGTCAGGCCCTCCCAGCCTCCCGGCCTGGTCCCGGCATCTTTTCTTCTGACCGGGAAAGAGAGGCTCCGGCCCGAAGGCTGTTTCCCCAGCGACCACTGGGGACTCGTGTGCTGCTTCAGCCACAGCTGAGGTTGTGAGCTTCAGCAGTGTCTGTTTCTTAACTGGTACTAAGTGAATAGTCAGTGTAGCCAAGGACAGGATCGATCCTGAAATGTCTACTCTCGTCTCAGTAACCGGATTGGTTCTCCGTCTCGAAAACAGAGTCGTGTCCTTAGGGTCGGGAAGCCAGTATTTACGGGAATCCGATTCGGTAATATGAGCGTCGCCTTTAAAATGTTGGGGTGAAAAGGTCTGCGGTCATGGGACTATTTCGAACAAAGTGCCTTTGTATGCTTTCATGTGAGAAAATATGAGCCTGCCGAAAATTTATTAAAAAAGAAGCAATGTAGGAGTTGCAGTGAAGCAAATTATGTCCGGATAGCTTTCTTTAGCCAGAGCCTAGATAAAGTTTTAAGGTGCTCGAGCAGTTTTTTATTTTTTTTTATTGAAGATATTGCTATGTGGGAGACACACTCTTCTGTTCACTACTGGCAGTTTGTAAATATTCTTTGATGTTCTCCTGAAACGAAGGTCGTAGTTACAAGGAGTCTTTAATATGTAATACTTAGTAATCCTGGTATTGTATATTATCGGTGGCTTAAGTTTGACCATATCTTCTGCCTTCACAATTTTATGTTTTGGTTGCCAGCTGCTGTGAATTTGGATATATTCCCTAATTAAATGGAGACACTAACTTACAACTTCGGGATGTGGCACAAAGCTGTGAAGCGCAAAATGATGGGTATAAAGCTGTTAAGATACTTGGCACAATGCCGTATTTGTGGGTCTTTATTGTGTTGCAAATTTGCCAAGCTGCCAATTTTTGCCCTGTTTTTAGGAAATGAAATACTGCTATTGGAAGTAAGCTGGTCCTAGACCTTTTATATTTAAAGGCCGACCCACATAGGGCGTATTCTCGACGAATTTACGCGCGTATCAGCGGGCGTAATCACGGGATTTGGCGGGCGCTTTTCTCACAGAAGGGAAGAGGGGAAGGGTCGCCAAACCACACACGACGCTTTTCGTCAACGTCTCCTCGGCGTTCGGTTCAGTGTAGCCCGACTTGCGCCTTTCATGAAAGGAGGCAAAATGCAGATCGGCTGCTATATTATTACGTTCCGCAAGGGGACAGAAATGACAATGTTAATAAGCAACCAAAGCCTGATTTGCTAACACCTGTTTCATAAATGTTCGTTGCAACAATCAAGTTGCCAAAAACTTCCGGCAGGAGGACGGCCGCTACCTCTGCTCAAAACCCAAAACCCTTCCTTTTGTAATTCTTTTCACATCGCCCGCAACATCGATGGTATTTTCTTCTGTCTCAGTCGTTCATCGCTCGTTCCAAAGAGATATAGCGATTTCGTACAGTTCGCCGATAAATCGGCGAACGCGACAAGCGAGCTCCCATTTCGGCGGCCGAGTCAAGCCAGGCAGCCGGCCGCATAGCTAGGCAAGCCGATTCTCGAGCAACTTCCGGCTCTCTACTCGGAAGCTGATTGGCCGGCACCGCGCCGTACGCTTCCGGATACGCCGCGCCGAAATACGCCGATGCGCCGAGATCTGTCTCGGTCGGATCGCCGAATACGCGCGTATTTACGCCGACCGAGGAAGCGCTCGTCACGACGCCCGCTGTACGTCGGGATTACGCCCGCCAAAACGCCCGCAAATACGTCGCAAATACGCCCTATTTGGTTCGGGCTTAAGTAGTGAGGGTTTCATACTCAAAACTTTTTCAATGTCTTTAGCTTCCAAAATAATTTAAAAATAGGTCGCCACAAAACATAGACCTTCTGCAGTGGACACAGCTTTGTATCTCAGCCTGGCATCCAAAGCATGAGACTGAAAGCAGTGGGGTGTAAAAGAAGGCCTCAACATGTGCATATAATATTTGTTTTGTATATTCGAGTCGTCTTTTTGGAGCAAGGAAAAGGTTCTGTGTTCATCGTTGAAGCAGTTGCATAACCAAGTCTCAAGCTAAGTATGGCTGTTGGATTTTTGGATACAGTCAATTATCTCTTGTATTTTGCCATTAAAAATTATTCTAATTCGCAAACATTTCTGGAGAGCTTTTAATTCTGGTTTAGGTTATGTTGGCATGGTCATACTGTTGCATTGCATGCATTACGACATTGCCTTATTGGGATATTAAACCAAACATTTCAGCATCCATAATAGGTGGTGCACAATCTTTACACGAGCCAGCAGCCGCCGATGTGTGCGAGTACGTGCAAACGAATTGACGCCATAGTCCTTCATTCACACTTAAGATGACAGCGAAATGTATGGGCTCCGGGCAAAAGGAGAATGACGACAGTCTTTTCATCTCCAGAAGTGAAAGCTATGTGCTTATTAGACCAATTAGTTGCCTTCCTTTTACACCAGACCCCACTGTGGAGATGAAATGCCTGTTTTTATTCTCCTTTTCCCTGGAGCCCACTCATTTCACTCTCATCTTAAGCGTAAATGAAGGACAATGACGTCCATTTCGTTGCGTGCATTTGTGCACACCGGCAGCTGCTGGCTCGTGGAAAGGTTGTGCGCCACTTATTATGGACCGTGAAATGTTTGGGTCAGCTGCCCTTTAATAGCCTTCGTTGGTAACAAAAACGTAGGCAGCTTCGAAGCTCGCAAAATGCCCAAAGTGTCATCGAAGGTAGGAAGCTTGCGCCAGGAGCGAGGCAAATAAAAGACCGCCCTGCCATTCTCATTGACCTGTGGTTAAGCCCTTTATACCAACGGTCAAGAGGCGTATGGAGAGGAGGAAAGAGGATTTCATTCCTTTCCCAATGGCTGTAGGTGGGCAATTTAACTTTGTGGCTTCTCCATGAACTTTTGTGCAGTTTTGGTTGCTTCTGTATCCAGTGTGCATTATCATGCCCCTCAAAGTTTTTAAGGAGTGGTCTCTCACCATGGACAAATGCACAAAGGGGATTTCAGCCGTGCAATACATCTGCACTCCCCCTCCCCTTTGGCTTTTTTTTTTTTTGCCACTCCTTATTGCTTTCGACACCACTTTGGCTGCAGCCACGAAGGCCTGACGGCTAAGTACGAGCTAAACCACAACATGTTACTAGAGCAAACATATACTAGTTGTACAAATGGGGTTGTGGCATTTCTAACTGCATTTTCTGATTTCAAAATTATCTATTGATATGTAACTCGTAATGACTCTCATAGTTGTAGCACCTTAAAACCCACAAACAATCCGGGGGTAGTCTACCCAATGACCACTGCACTCTTACCAAGTTTATATTGCTGTATGTTTTCACCAAAATGCATTGCTACATTCTTTATGTTTTGCTAACTTATTAGGGAAAGTCTAAATGCGAATCAAATGGCACAGCGTATTCGAATAGATTCTTCAATATTCAACATTTTTCCTTCAAAATATTAGCACTTTAGAACAGTATAAATATTTTGACGAGCATGTTGACATACTTAGTAGTGTAACCGCTGTGCCATTTGCACCAAGCTGGGCCAGAACGAATAACCTGCTACACGCTGCTCCAGAGGCTGTATTTGTGTACAATTTGTGCCATGTCTGCGCTAAAAGCGAGCTGTTCTCGAAAAGGAAATTGAAAGTGTCTGGCACGTGGCATTCTTGGTAATGCAACTGAAAATGAAGAAAGTACAATTTTTCTCAGATGCCTAAGTGCTATATGTGCGAAGAGTTGGGCTGCACGAATATTCGAATTGTCGAATAGTGGTTTAAAATTATATGCTAATTGTTATTCACTTCAAAATGTACTGCCATATTCATACTTAAAAAAATGGGGCGATTACAATTCTCTGTAATGCCGAATTAGAGCGCAGCTCTTGAGGAGGAGGGGAGGGTCACGTGTGACGTCACGAGGGTAATATTTTATCACTAAATATAGACCATTCCATTTAGCGCTGCCTGGGTGGCACCATTTTGTTCGACAGCAGCGCCCTCTCCATACATCCGGGAAATTCCGCAGGTTCTGCGTGGTAAAACGAGAGAGGGCACGCGCCCGACTCCACTAGCAGACGACAAACCAGGAGGTTGCCATTCTCCATCTTTGGGCTGTACCGGCGGGCTCTACGGAACACATCGAACTCTCGCTCGTGGCTGCCGTTGTGAAGTGGTTCGCGTCCTTAGAATAGTTATGGCTACTCCAAAAATCAGCCTATAGCTCTCTGTTGTTCTATTTCGGTAAATGATCAACTAGCGTATTTTTTTTCCCGTTACTTAAGTAGCAGTTGAGTCAGCCGGCAGTACTAGCCTGAACTACTGCGTGTATTGCGGCAGGAGGGCACGTTTTTTTATTATTTAAGACTTCCACTCATGGTCGCTAAAGGCCTACACCAGTACGAACTTTGTATAGTAAAAAAGGTATACCCAGATTTAGTTTTCACCGGAGAGACCGCCCAATCTGACACAGTTTTCCCTTTTTTATTTGCACGCAGTAACAGCGCAATTGGACCCTATTAGTCCTTTTATTTAGCATAGTACTACATGATAACTGGTATACCAAAATCTGCGCATCTGCGCTTGAAATTTCCAAAATGACGCGATTTTAAACAGTTTGTACGCCAGCCAGATGCTAGGTACAGTCCACTCGGTGCAGTAGACGACATACAGGTGAGAGGGGGAGGGCATTTTTTTCAAATTCCCTCTCTGCTATGGCCCTAATGGAACGGTCTATAGTGAGGAATTTTTTGTGTTAAATTTAGCAAAAAAAGTTTTCCGGGTTAAGTGGCGTCACGTGTAACGTCACAAGGTTAAAATTTTCCCGCTAAATTTAGCGGGAGAATTTTCCCACTATTTAGCGGTAAAATATTACCCTCGTCACGTCACACGTAACATTTTTTTTCACCGGATTTGTTTAGCAAGTTTAGCGGGGAATGTTTTTGCTAAATTTGACAAAACAATTTTGCCCTCGTGACGTCACGTGCAACGGCATTATGGGAAGCGTACCATAATGCAACGTGCGGTTACGCACACGGCGACGCCGCTCAAGCCGGAGACGGGCGCTAAGAGCTGCGCTCTAAATTATAGCGGCGGGTTAAACCTTTTGGGTGCGCTTCACCTGAAGCACCAGTGCACTGCGGAGAAGCATTACCCGCAGAGATGGCACCGCGATCTTGCGATTTGCTTCGCCGCAGCGCAGCCGCGCACTGAGGCGAAAAACACCTTTAATATGGTATGGTGCACGCGCGCGCCTGATGTATTAAAAAAAAGAAAGACGTTTACATTTCCCTGTAACGCCGAATTAGAGCGCAGCTCTTGAGGAGGAGGAGGGGAAAGTACGGAGAGGAGGCTATGCCCCTCCTCTCGTGCTCGCCTCCCATTTAGGGGAAAAGTTAGCTAAATTTGGCAGAGAGTTTTTCCCGCTAAATTTAGCGGGGAAACTTTTCCGCTAAATTTAGCGGAGAGATACTTCCGCTAAATTTAGCGAGGAATATTAGGGAGTTTTCGTAGACCGCGTTGCCCCCTCCGCTAAGCGTTACGCAGCGAAGAAGTTGCTACTGCGCCTGCGCGCCGATAGCCTTGACTGTGGAGTTCCCGCTATCGTAGCGGGTTGCGGAGGGCCTTGCGGGACGGCGAAAACGATCTACGAAAACTCCCTATTTTCCGCTAAATTTAGCGAGAAAATTTTTTCCCGCTGAATTTAACGGGGAAATTTTTTCGCTAAATTTAGCGGGGAATTTTTTCTGCTAAATTTGGGGGGGAAAATTTTCTGGTAAATTTGGTGGGGAAATTTTTTCCACTAATTTTAGCGGGAAATATTTTTGCTAAATTTGGTGGGGAATTTTTTTTGATAAATTTAGGGGAGGAGTTTTCCGCTAAACTTAGCTGAGGAATTTTTTCCGCTAAATTTGGCGAGGAATATTTTGGGCTCAATATGGCGGGGAATATTTTCCGCTAAAT